AAAAAAACAACAACCACCACGAAATTTACCATTCCACCACACACTCTGAATCGGTCTTTCAAGATCACCCACAAACAAACAAATTCCGAAGATTTCCCTAATTCTTCGTCGCTCCCTATGTCAAATCATCACACTACGGGAATGATACGCAAAGCGTCACGCACGGTCTGGTCAACCGAATGTGCATGTATAATTCACCCTTGGTGCCTTTTCTAGCCCAGCGGCTCGAACGGAATAGGATATCTTTCACACATAAACGCGACAATATAGCGTGCGTTCCACGCACGTTAATGGCATGCTTAGGTAAACAAACTCCTGCGAAGCGAAAATGCGAGGCCACCTTAAAGTAACTTTGGGCAAGCGAGAAGAAGAAGAACACCACTGGCCCACATTACCCAAAACAGGTAAACTAAGTTCTCTGCCACTAATATGCTGTTTTTGAATGCTAAGCAAATTGTCGAATTCCTAGGCATGTGGCCAGCGATTGTTCACGGTAAACGGGAAAAAAATACACGCTTTATTCGCACCCAAGGTGTAGCGGCTCTGTACGCCAGAACAAACGCTCAGGCGCGCTTCCAAAGGTAAACAAATAACGAAATTACTTGCATCGGTGCCTGCAATTAATGGTGGATCAGGTAAGATCATAAAACACGACCTTACTTTTTTGTGTTGTTTGGTAGGCGCTTGTTTATTCACGGTTTTCTTTAAATACTCCCGCTCCCGCCTGTCACCGCCCGACTATACCACCTAGCCGCTCATTTCTATACGCTCGTTATCATGAAGGTCGAAACTCCAAAGAAACCCTCCTTGCCTTCCATAGACACCCTCACCAAACAAAGCACCTATTCGCTTCCACCTTTGCTGCTGCTCCTCAATCAGCCAGAAAGGCCAAAGTTACCTTCCATTACTTCCTTGACGCCTTCCACTCCTCGTTTCGTGCTTCCCCCTAGATCCGTGTCTGAAACTGCTGTTTCCAGCTCGACTCAAGTGTACCAAACATACAATGCTAAAAATCAGCATTTCCTCACACCTTTGGATACCTCCGCTGCGAGCTCAACCCCAGCTCCGGGCCCCAGCTCTGCCGCAAACACATCAATGGACTACGAGGCTGACTCGTCCATGAACAGTAGCATCAACGACTCGATGGTCAAGCCAGCCACGAAGAGAAAAGCCTCTTCGACCGTCTCTCCCACAAAGGACTTTGCATTTATCAGTCATTCGCCTGCCACATACCCTTCGCAGGAGCCTTCCATAGACAACGCCTCTTTGGCTCGTCGCAAGAGAAGAAGAACATCTCCCCATGAATTGGCCATCTTGAACCTGGAGTTTGAGTTGGGCTCTACCCCAAACAAGATGAGACGCACGGATATCTCCAAGCGTGTCAACATGACCGAGAAGGCCGTGAAGATCTGGTTTCAGAACAAGAGACAGTCGCTTCGTCGTCTCAAGGTTACAGACAAGGAAATCACAGAGTTGCCTCCTACCCCAGACTCCTCTGTACTTGCATCGGCTCCTGCCACTGAATCTGCTCCTACGCCAATTGTGGAGAGCACTCCTATCAAGCCCGCCTTGACAAAGTCCCACTCCCAGGAGTTTGTTCACAGAGTCATGGACCAACTGTCCCCAATCAGATCATACTCCACACCTTCATTAGTCCAGAAGCAAACGAAGAAGGAGAAAGGCATGAAGGTGCCATTGCTTTCGAGAATGCTTGCAGCCGAGGATGAGAAGCCCAAGGAGAACGGAAACTTGGTCTTGAACCTCACCAACAAGAAACAGCCCGAGTTTGTTCGCTCCGCTCCTGCTGCATCTACCCAAGTAATGACCTTCAAATTGGCACCCTCTTCCGCTGGCAATGCCAACACCCCAACATTCATGGCATCAAACAGCTCCAGCAAACCAGCTGCCCGTAAACCATTGGGCCAAGTCGACACAAACATACCCGCTCCAGCAGCAAAGGCAGCCCACGAGTCACAATGCGTTCACAACTTACTATCATTAAAGAGCGGCAATTTTTAAACACAAGTGCTTTTACATAACGAATTCATGAGTCTAGCAAAAATGAGTAGGTCCAGAGTAAAATAGTTCCTGAGAAACGTAGTTCCTAATTAAAGTAGTTCGAGTAAGTAGTTCCTATGAGTAACCATGACATTATAATGAGAACTATAAAGTATACTATACAGATGATGATATGCCGTAAATGAAGTGAGAGCTTATGCCTCCTGAGCCTTGGCCTGAGACTGGGCCATCACACGCTCGGTCCTCTCGGCATCAAACTCGAAGTCAAAGTACAGTTTGTCGTAGTAGTGAACTCTGATGAAACCGTCCTCTCCTCCAGACACATAGCCCACACCATCTGGGTGAACAGCGACAGTGTTCAAAGGACCGAAGTGACCCTTCACTCTGCCAATCTCCTCGGTAAAGATCTTGTGGTAGAATCTAGCCTCGAACTTACCCTGACTCTCGGCCGTGGTAGTGACGTTTCTGGCTTCCTGACCACCACCCAAGATGACAAAGTTCTTCTTTGGGGTGATGGCAGCGGTGTTCATTGGCGCATCAGCCTTGTAAACCTTCATGATCTCGAAAGTGTCCACGTCAATCAAGGTGGCGTTCTTGTCTTTGGATGCTGTGATGAAGTACAGCTTGTCCTCTGGGGCAAACTGGATGTCGGTGATGGAGACGATCTTCTCCTCGTTGTGGATTCCGTGAGCCTTGACTGTTTGAAGGAACTCACCAGTCTTACCGTCGTACTTACTGACGTAACCGTCTTCGTGACCGGCAATGATGTACTGACCCTCAGCGGACCATCCAGCAACGGTGACCTTGGTGGCATCCTCTCTGGTGTTGATGACGAGGCTGGGCTCGGCAGGCTGGTTCAGAAGATCGTCCTGGTTGATATTGTAGATAGAAATGGCACCTTTGCTTCCCATAACCTTGTCTGTAACTGCCAAAAGCTTGGTGTTGTCTGGGGAGAAGGCGACTCTTCTCACTGGGGAAGAGGTCTCCCACTTGTAAACGCATTCACCGGTCTCGGCCTTCCACAATCTGATGGTAAGATCGGCACTTCCGGTGGCACACAAGAAGGTCTTGGTGTCCACGTCGATCGACCAGATAGTACCTTGGTGACCCTCCAAGGTTCCAAGTCTCTCACCGTTGGACAGGTACCAGATGGAGGCGGAGGAATCCTTGGCGACAGAGAAAAGAAGATCACCTTCTCTGTTGAATTTGACCTGCGTCAACGAACGCTCGTGTCCCATCAACTTAATAGGTCTCATGGCTGGATATATATGGTTGATTCGATGGTTAGCTATTGAGGCTCAGAAAACTTTTTCAATGTGTGGTAGTGTCGCGCTCATATCAAGGGAAGTGCCTGGGAAGCCTCTACAGTATATCAAGTCTACACAATTTCCAGATTTAAGTAATAGAGAATTTGGGGCTTTTTTGTCGGTCTTCAATAAAAAGATTCACCTCAAAATTTGCATGAATTAGGGTAATCTTACCAGCAATACCGCAAATCTAACGAGTGTGGAGTGGATAACACACTCCATCCACTACTCATATACGCTCAATGATACGAATTTTATAAAAATCACAAAATCCTTTATTTTTCTCGATTAGCACACGTTTTCGATCTTCACATCCTTACCGTCATGATCACCGTAGTCCAATTTCAATCTTCTGTTGAACAACTCAAGTAACCACTGGAAGCACAAACCTGTCACAGCAGCGTCATAGCGGTCCTTGGAGTTCTCGTCTCTGATGAAAGCATGCTGTGCTTCGTTGATCTCAATGAAGGTGAGCTGCGTTGGGTTTTTACGCAATGTCAGTCTGATCAAATCCCTACCCTCCAATGGAACGTGGTTATCCTTATCGCCGAATACCATGATCAACTCACCTTTGATCTCCTTCGATCTCTTCAAAGAATCGTCATTCTTGCCTTTACCCAAGGCATGGTTGTGAATGTCAGTTGCAAAAAAGCAGAAAGCAGCACTGACTCTTGGGTCCAAAGCAGCTCTGAATGCCAAATGGCCTCCCAAGCACATACCAGTAGCTCCAATCTTACCATTGAAGGTTGGAAGCAGCTGCAAGTACTCAATGGCTAATCTATTGTCCTCATCGTACAGAGACACTTCCTTCTCGATCTTGTACTGATTTCCTTTGTCGGTACCCTCGGTATCGTAGGCCAATGCTTCATGAGATTCAAAGTTATGGTAAATGGAAGGAGCAACGGCAATGAAACCCTGACCGGCAATGTCTTTGGCAAATCTGGCCACTGGACCAGTCACCTGATAAATCTCGGAGTAGACAATCACACCCGGGAACCTGGCTTTTGGATAATTGGGAATGACAGGGTGGAATACGAATAAACGCATCGTGGTTCCGTCCGCTGTAGGGACGTCATGGTATGTTTCCTTGATTAACATTCTTATTTCAGGTGTAGTTAAAGTTGGGTGAGTGCGTGTACACTATTAACTGAGATAACCAGTTTTTGTCTATCAACTACAATGTCTACATATGATAAGCAGGCCGTTATTTTTGAATCAGTACACTCTACAAGAGCTACTGAACACAGTTTATTACTACAAATCATCGTGGGATGCATGTTTCGGAGGCTAGACATTGGTAGCCGAGTGTCTCTTTCAGTGTCCTACTTTTTCCTCTTTTCCAATTCGGCAGCGGCTTTTCTAGCATCAGCTGGATTGTTAGTTCATGGAAATAAGTCAAATTCGTCATGGATACATACCCTCGGCCTGTTTTCTTCTCATTTTATCTGCGTCACTCTCCATTCTCTTTTTTGGATCACCCTCCTTCTTCTGACTCTTAGCCAACTCTTGTTGCTTTTTCTGATTCTTGGCTCTGGCCAAGTCTCGCTGGTTTCCTCTAGCCATTGGCGAACTTGTCGAGAAGCTCGAAACTACTTCATGATTCCAAACTTTTTACAGCAAATTGGCGCACGTGACCACCAACGGCCTACAACGACTTCGACTTTCGTTCCTTCCCTATTTTGTTTCCTCTAATTCAAAAACAAGGCTCTTGTCGGCCTTGGGGTCGTAAGGCTTCAACAAAAACTTCGAAAACTTCTTTAAGTTTTCCACGCCTCTGATCTCGGTACCGAGCAAAGGCATCTTGACCAAGTGATAGTCCTCGTATAACTCTCCCATTTGATCCAAGTACTTCTTCTGCATCTTCCAACGAGACTGGCATCTTCTGCAATCGTCCTCTTCGGCGAAAAGCAACTGGTTCACAACAATCGAGTTAACGTCCATGTTGTAGCTCATCAACTCTTGAATCATACGCTCGGTCTCATAAAGCGACAAGAACTCGGAAATACACACACAGACAAAGGTCGTCAAGTCGGGATTGGTGAACTGTTCATTGACTTCACTGACATTTCTCTGCACTTCGTTCAATTTCTCGAAGATATCTTGCTGTTGGCCAGCACCGCCACCGAGCATGCTCAACATAGGGCCCAATTTGCCCGATAAGTCCTTGAATTTCGACAACAACTTCTCGAGAGTAGCAGGAAGCTGCAAGAATCTCAATGTATGTCCTGTAGGAGCTGTGTCGAAAATAATGGTCTTGTAGGAAATGGTGTCGCTGTCTTCCTTGTCGGAAGCGACTTTTTGGTTTTTGATGTGCTTCAACACTTCCATGAACGACAAGGCTTCGTCGATACCTGGGATGGAGCCAGTCATGTCTTTCATCATGCTCTTCAACGGGTCGTTGGGATCGTTATTGTACTGTTGAGCCTGATTCTGCAAGTCACTCATGGCGGCCTCGGGGTCAATTTCCATACAAGAAAGGTTGGACAAGCCTTCCACCTTTCTGGCGTCCTTGCCGAACTTCTGACAGAAAGCATCAGATAAATTATGGGCTGGATCAGTGGAGATAAGCAAAAACTGCTCGGTTGGGTTTGCCAACGCTAACTGAACAGCGATCGAGGACGAGGTGGTTGTCTTACCGACACCACCTTTACCACCGACAAAAACCCATTTCAAGGTATCTTGGTGCACGATAGACTCCAAAGTCGGTTCTAGCTCGAAATCCATGTTAACTTTGTGGAGAGAGTAGAGTACTGGTGCTTTTTTCGATGAATATGTAAGGCGCGCATGTGTTCCATGTGCTTCCAGGCGGATCAGCATGTTTCTACTTTGGCACTACTTACATAGTATGCAGCGATGCCTGGGCCCTGTAATTATATGATAACTGATTACTTTCTATTTAAAGCATTACCTTGATTTGGAGTAATTTCATGGAAAAAAACTATCCATCTTTGGCTGACCTAGTCAATTTCGTACACTTCATCAGTTTCCGGCAATAATTGCGGTGCATCGTCCATGGGAAAGTCAGTCCAGCCACAAACTCCTGGTTCGTAAAGTTCACTAACACAGGACAAGAGGGGCGCTGTCCTGCCCAATAAGGTAAACTCGCCTTCTTCCCATTCCAGCTTTTTGATAAAGTTGTATCTATGAAGGTTGACTTTCCACTGGCGGCTGCAAATTCTCAGCTTGATAGTCGTGAGAGAAATGAACGGCCTAACAGGCGCCGTTTTTCCGTTGCAGGCGTGATTGACGTAGATCGAAGCGGTAATTCCAAGGCCAGCAGAAAAGCCGGAATTGATTCCAAAATACGGAATGGGCATCCCCCCACCAACTCCTGGAGTGACTTTTGGTGAGCCCGCGATGGTGAGACGAACTTCCGTAGTAGCAGGGGCCTCCTCATGACTGAAGGCTATGCATTGAGCCAAGGGCATTTTCAAAGATGTTTCCTCGGCTTCGACCTCAATTTTAAATTCCTTGAATCGATATGAAGTGAGCTTGGTCAGGTACCAGTCTGTAGCATCGGGTTGCTTAGGACCTGTAGGACTGTCATCAAGAACAGCAGGATACAAAAGAGAGTTTTGCTTCTCGCAAACCACCTCAACATAAGGATAGTATCTGATAACTGCTGCCATTTGCTGTTTGCTAAATGATTCGCAATCCGAGATGGTCCAGTGTTTCACACGAGGAGGTGTCTCCCTATTATGCTTTACAACCGCTGCTGAAAAGCCTTCTATACTGGTGGGCAGTGAAGTGGTATTCACATTTTCAATCTTGATATAATTGGGTGTCCCATTTTCATCCTCTAGCGGAATCAAAGTAGCATTGTTGATGAAAGTCGGTAGAGCCGACACTGCCCATAGAAGGAATACGTAAAATAGCATAAGACGTCAATTGCAAAGCTTTTGAAATTTACATCGAAAGAGTCATTTTAAAGCTATACACTGGGGTAAGGTAATTTTGCAACCGCAGTAATCTCGGATTTATTCTTTCCTCTCTCGATGCGTCCCAAGGAAACGCATGACAAGAATTACTGGACGTCATGACACCGGTCTGTTTCCTTTTTCGGCTTGCTCATTTATGATAGCACCTGCACGTGATTTGAATCATGAGGCTGATAACGGCATACAACAGAATCATGATCCCTTGCTTTAGATCAAGGATACTATTTTGCACCCAGACTATTCGATGGACCTGTATGGCACAATTGCCTCAGCGATGACAGTCAGCATTTATATACAGGTAAAGTGATCGCAGAAAGCACTCACATTCCAATGAATAGCATTATGTGCAGTTTGGTCGCAAAAAGAACGCAGCCGCTCCGCAAAAAGAACGCATGGACGAATATATAAGGAGTCCAATATCCCCCCATCAATCCCTTTCTCATCAATCAATAATCTAACACAATGGCTCCAACTACTGCTTGTCCTTGCTCCACTTGCTCTTGTGCCTCTTGCACCTGCTCTTCCGAGTCTGGCTGCAAGTGCTCTAAGAAATAAGCAAGTTATGAAAATTTTGTCGCCTACAGGGTGATCACAGCTCAGGTTTGCAACGATTCATTCACACGCGAGGCCGTTGAACTGATGTTGCGTTAGTATTCAATAATATGATTTACGAAAAACTCAATTTGTAGTGCGTGATGACAGCTACGATCTTTCGCTTGCGACTGATCCAAGGAAGCTGTATCAAGGAATTTTGTCACAATAGGACGCATATGAGCTAGCGAGGGCTCCAACCTCTCTTGAGTCTTATTGAAGCTGTTTTCATTTGTAAAACTCTAGACGTTGCATGTTTTCCGACCCTTTAATTTTTGGAGCACTAATGCATGGGCCCAGGATCTCTGCGGATGTAACTATCCTGCATATAGAGTGCGATGAGATCCTGTACTGATAACAGTCATTTCATATGGTGCTTGAAAAAAGAGCATATCTAGTGTTGCCTGCGTGGCGTAATGGTTAGCGCATTTGACTTCTAATCAAAAGATTCCGGGTTCGAGTCCCGGCGTGGGTTTCTTTCTTTTTTTTGCTTGTATTTCATATCATATTCTTTTAATCTATTAAAAAAAGACATAAACGGCCTCTCTATAGTGGTGCTAATCTGGGGCAGCGAAGATTATGAGGAGTTCGGGTCCCTTGGAATATAATATTAGGTATTGGGCATAAGTTGGAATAAATTAATTGCTGCTATCTTGCAGCATTGGTGGATTAGAAGCGGAAGTTCGAGTTCATGCTCGAAGTATCACTGTTGAAGAACTCAAATCCATCATGGCTGTCAAATTTCTTGGTCGAGTTCCGCTTCTCAGTCTCAGAGGGTGTCACTGTGTCATTAAATGGTATCGAGCCAGTAGTCTTCCTAGACTCTTCATCGGACGTAGTATCTGAGTAGATATCATCGCTATCTTCAGAGTCACTTCCCACTGGAGTGGTGAAGAAACTTTGCTCCGCAGTAATAATGGCCTTGACCTTGGCAGGGAGAACATCTGGACGGTAGAACCTAAGGTCCACTCTACCAACGAGGTAAAGAAGGTTGATGATGCTTTCAAAACCACCGTACACAACAACCAAAACTCTGTAGTCACAGACCCAGCTGCTATCATAGTTCGTACGGTTTTGAAAAATAGTCACACTTCTAAGCACAGCTCCAATGAAAATAAGAATGGTACAGACTGACACAATGAACAAGGAGATGTTGTGTTTCAACTCACCTCTTTTGTTGGTGAGTCCCTCAACCATATTGTAGTGGTGATGCGTAGCAGCAATAACACGAATAGCATGTCTGTGGTTAGAGTTACGTTTCATGAAAGTCTCTTCTGCTTCCTGTGCAGCATGCTTCTTAACAAAGTAGAATGGGCCAAAAGATTCGATCCACCATGGCTGATATGTATACAAGCGCTCATCCTTTCTCGTGGGCTGGAAAAAGTAAGCAAGGCCAAGTAAGGAGATCGAAGTGAGTGAGTAAAGGATAATTAAAATCGAGGAAGCAGCATTCACCTTCTTCCACAGCTCGTAAGCTGGCTCACCCAAGAAGTGAATGAATTGAATGAAAGCTGCTGGAATAGTTATACCAATAACAATCAACACAATTCCATAAAGCGTGAGCATACAGCCCCAGAAAAGCTTTCTGGAACCACCGACTGGATGTCTCCATGTGAAAATTCTCTGAGCCAAAATCAAGTTGAACGTCACCAAGATGATGGAAGGTAAAATAAGAAAAAGCTCACTTGTCAAGGCAGATGGTACGGCAGGACGATCCTTCACCCACACAATACGGAGGGCAAATCCAAGCACTCTTAGAATACAGTTGAAACTCCACATGACGGATATCCAAAAATAGTGGCCTCTCGAATAATTAACAACAAAGATAAGTGCATGTGCAAGTGCAAAACAACTGAAGAATGCCACCATGATAGCACTGGGAACTATATCTCTTTCCTCTGGGTATCCACCAAAAAGGTTATTCTGTGCTGCAAAAGCGAACTTCACAAGCTGTGGCGACATGTCATGACCGATAAGATTTCTTGTGTAAGATATAAGTTCCATGATACCAGTACCACTGGCTGGGTGATCAAGGAAGTACCTGAAAACCTTGAAGAGGCCTTCGACCAGTGTATTTTTGGAAAAGTCGGACGGGTCCGTCGCAAAGCCTCGGGAATCCATTGCGATAAGCTTTAAAGTTTCTCTCTGGGAAAGACCAAGATTGGGAGGGAATGGTCGACTTAATATAGGAAAAGACAGATGAAGCGGATTTACGTTTCAATGGAAATGATCCCTTGCGGAAATAACAATTACATTCATTTTTCGCTTTGTTCAACGTGCTAAGCTCCGCTAACAATGTGCGCGAAAGTAAGGTGTGTTAAGTCATAACGGTCGAGCCACAACATGACATATATTCGCTTTTTAGTAATTTTAGACCGTCTGCTATAAATCATAGAGAGTCGAATTTTCAGAATATGCAAAAACCCCGAAAATCTGACCCCTTGCAGTTGTAATTTGCAACACTGTGGTAGGTTAAATCTTGTATTCGACTTATGCAATGCTGCCTCGGTTCTGTGTATAGGGTAAGCCTACTTTCCTAATGGGGAAACCGTTGAGTCGTTCATGTGAACCATTAGCCGAATTAGGTTTCGACAATAACGGCTATACTTACTTGAGTCAACATGAGTCGGAACAAATAGATATATTATAGTGAAATATAGGCATTTAGAAGTGAAATACGGAGTCATCTCCATCAGCTCGTTCACGTTTGGTATCCTTCTTTTCATCCTGCTTTTCCTGAGGGAATTGGAAGGATGAGCTATCTGTTGTCTTTCTATCGTCATCAAGATCCTCGACATCATCAGTAGGATATGGAGGCTCCACCTTGTCATAAGACAAAGGCAGATCTGATGAGTAGACCTTGGATGCGGCAGAAACATCAGATTCATGACTCGAGCGAGTGTAGATGTCATCCTCATCTTCTTCTGATTCAGATGGATAGAAACTCTGCTCGGCTGTAATGATGGCTCTAACCTCTGGAGGCAAGATGTCTGGTCTGTAGAGTCTCAAGTCAACTCTGCCCACAATATAGATGATGTTCACTAGAGATTCAAATACACCCCATGTAATGTAGCCCAAGAGGGGCTCAGCAATGGGGTCTTCGTACCTCTTCCACTTGAACTGGAACAACACGATACATCTTAAAATAGCACCAACCAAAATCAAAGCAGTGGTAATTGTGATGATAAGCATAGAAACGTTATGGGTCAAACTTCCTCTTTCATTGGTCAATCCCTCAACCATGTTGAAGTGATGATGAGTGGCAGCAATGACTCTGATAGCGTGTCTGTGGTTGTGATTACGTCTCATAAAAGACAATTCAGCTCTTTGAGCTGCTCCTTTCTCAACGAAATAGAACGGGCTGAAAGACTTGATCCACCATGGCTGGTAAGTGTAAAGGTTTTCATCCTTCTTGGTTGGAGGGAAGAGGTAAGACAAACCAAGCAAAGAAACCGAAGTCATCACATAGAGGACGACAATAACACCAGACGCCTGGTTAACCTTGGCCCATTTCTCGTAAGCGCTGTAGCTAACAAAGTGGATATATGGAACCAATGATGCAGTGACAATGATCGCGATAAATACGAAGACAAAGAAGTACATCTGCAACATAATGCTCCAGAAAAGCCATCTCGAACCACCGACAGGGTGACGCCAAGTAAACAATCTCTGCGTCAAAATCAAATTTAATGATACGATTAAATATGCGGGCACAATTTGAAGCACAGACCCCGCCAAACCGACGTCGATTTCTAGGATGTCTGTGGCCCAGTAAGCTCTCATTGCGAAAGCTGGAATTTTCATAAGGCAGTAGGCAATGAAACCAATGGACACCCAAAAGTAGTGGCCACGGAAGAAATTGATAAGGAAAATTGCCGTGTGAAGTATTAAGAATACGAAAAACACAACAGCGAAAACAATTGCTGGGGCTATGTCCCACTCAGTTGGGTAACCACCCATCAAAACATTCTGTGTTTCGACATTGTACTCAATAAGGATATCGGGTAATTTCGGTCCCATAAGATTCTGACCAATACTAACGATCTGCTTGATACCTGTTCCTGGAGCACCGCCGTTAACACATGCTGATAGGAAATTCATAAGCCCTCCAGGAGCATTATTATCGAACTCCATGACTGTGAAAACTCAACAATATGACTCTTGCACCTATAGTCTCGGCAACAAAAAGATTTCGATACCGATGTTTATAAAAGTAACTGGAGATAGTCAAGTAATAATCCGTTCAGAAATTCGGGTCCTTGCGAAAGATGTCAGGAAATATTAAGAAGTATTGCATCATATATATATAAGTTTCTCCAAGTCTCCTCACTAAAGGTCCCCTCCCATTCATCTCGAAATAATAGGATGAATCTCTTCGCCCATGCCCACATTAGGCCATTTGTGGGGAATGCATCCAGGCGAGCTCGTAATGAGGATTGTTTCATGTCGCCGTGCAGACTCCGTGAGGCACATACATGACAACTACTCGATTTGGGAAAGATAGACAGCCCTGCAGACGCGTCCACGATAATATCGCCAGACCAACCACATTGTAGTAAAATTAAAATCTATAGAGCCATTTGCCGACTTTAAGGAATGAGCCAGCACTTTTTTTTAACAATTAACTAAAGTAACTTAGGTTGTCGTGGTATCATTTAAAAATCTCGTTATGCGTAGGATTGTTATGCTCCATTGTGAGGATGCTCACCTCAGAAATGGAAATCCTCGTCGTCATCTGACTCAAGCTCTTTGGCATCCTTGACGAATCCCTCCTTTCTTGCACCTGGGGTTAAGTCAAAGCCATCACTAGATTCAGAATCCGTAATCTCTTCCTCAGAGGAGTAGCGCTCGAATTCACTGCTAGCGTCACTCTGCTCAATAGACTGCTGCGCAGTAATGATTGCACGAACCTTGGCAGGCAAAATGTCTGGACGGTAGAACCGCAAGTCGACTCTGCCCACGATGTAAAGCACGTTGATAATGACCTCCATCAAGCCCCACAAGATATACATAGCGACCGGTTTACAGAGGGGGCTTTGATCACGGGTGTACCTGTTTTGAAAGCACACAATGAGTCGGCACAAAGAACCAACAAAAATGAAAAGTGTAGTGATAGCAATTAAACCCAAAGAGTAGTTATGAGTTAAATCACCTCTTTGGTTTGTGAGACCTTCAACCATATTGTAGTGATGGTGCGTCGCCGCAATAACTCGAATGGCGTGTCTATGATTATGGTTACGCTTCATGAAGGTCTCCTCTGCCTCATAGACAGCACCTTTTTTCACGAAGTAGGTTGGTCTAAAGGACTCAATCCACCAAGGTTGGTAGGTGTATAAGTTCTCATCCTTTCTCGTTGGTTTGAAAAAGTACGCAAGACCAATCAAAGAAAGGGCTGTAAGCGAGTAGGCCAAAATCAAGACAGCTGAGGCTTGCACAACTTTCAAGTAGGATGAGTAAACGCCCTCCGAAAGAAAGTGAATGTAAGGAATAGCCGCACAAGCAATTGTCATTCCAATAATAGCGAGGACAAAAACATACAATGTTATCATAAAGCTCCAGAACAACTTTCTGGAACCACCGACGGGGTGTCGCCAGGTGAAAATACGCTGCGCCAATATCAAGTTGAACGACACCAACACGATGGAAGGAAGAATCAAAAGAACCTCACTAGCGATACCGGTCGGAACACGAGTGATGTCCTGTCCGAAGGGAATTCTCAAACCGAAGCCAAGACAACGAAGAATACAATAAAATACCCAGCCTAAGGACACCCAGAAGAAATGATGCCTGCTGCAATTGATGATGAAGATACCCAAGTGCAAAAACATCAAGACTGCAAATGCTGCGACAAAGATGGCGCTAGGTACGACATCTGTATCTGTCGGGTAGCTTCCGATCAAGTTGATCTGGTACCCCACTTGATACTTGAGAAATTCCATCGGAAGCTCGTTCCCTAGAAGGTTGTGACCCTGACCCGCTAGCTGTTGAATACCAGTTCCTTCAGCCGGCTTGTTGTTGAGATACCTTAAGAATAACATCAACCCTGCCGTAGCAGGACTGTAATCGAAATCCGTTGTTGACTGGACAGTCATTGTGAAGCCCTATTGTAGGTTTGCGGGGGTATTATGGTGATCTTCAGGTAACAATCGGGCAGCTCCAGATAAAAAGGACAAAAGAGCTTGGAATTTCAGATGCCTGGGCAGGATATTTAAACAGCATATCTTCTTTGTTCACGTTGTCTTGAAACTTGCCTATTGGGGCATCTTCCAAGGAAAACTTCCCGATCGAGAAAGGGCTACATCAATGAGTGCGGCACAAAGTCATTTACCTTAAAGAGGAAACTCAGCTGACTCTACATGCACAAATTGTGCTTATATGAAGGACCGAAGGACAGATGTTTGGTTTTTGCCTTTGCTCAGCAAGGAATTCATATAATAAAGGCTTTTAATAAACCAAAGATGGTATTTTGCATCTCTTTTGGTCTCAAAATAACAAATCTATGGAATATTATCACTCGAGCCCTGTCAAATGCCTTTCATCGGAGCTCAATCTGCAGTTAATAGATAGCGCCGCGCGATCCCAATTTTTGAGGCGTCCGACTTGGAACATCAACATCTAGTGGATCCTTCCGCAGCTACGATTCTTGGAAAGCCTCACTTCATCAAGCCACAGCACCGCCTCTTATTTTGTTCTTTATAGCCCTTCATTAAGAAGGAGTAATGTTGAAAGCGTTTGATTCGCCCGTTTGGATTAGTCCGTATAGGGCTACATGACGTAAACTGTTAGCCGTATCCGCTGAAGAACAAAAAAGATGGAAACTGATACATTTGAGATACGTGGCAATGAAAACCTGCGTTGGGCAACCAGTATCCTGTTTAAGACTTTACTCGTAAACACTTAGGCAAGCCGCACCTTCAAAAAAATATAGGGCGGCCAATTATTCGTGCTACCAGAATTCGACACAAGAACCTGTAAAATCAATATTCTACGTTCCACTGGTCGTTCGTAATATCTCATATCTTCATAGAATGCTCTCACCTTGTACATCCTGCATAAGATGTTACTCGATTACGCGTTCTTAGCCAGTCCATCATATTAGTTGCACAATGCCTGCCACCAGGATAGATTGTACGATTGGTCGTCAGGCGTTAAATACAGTCAAAGATGAAGCTGCACCTGCAAACTCGTGCGTGATTTCTTCTTCCATGGGACTACTTCTATTGGATATACAGGGTGAACTAAATCTACCTTCAAAAGATGAGACTAGTGATAAGCACGATATGGCAATCATAGACCAAATCCACGATGCTGTCAAGTTTGGCAGGCTCATATTTGACGAAGCTCCGCTGCAAAGGGTGACTTTGTTCATTGGAAATTCGCAGCGTCTACTTGGAAAGATCGAAGATCTCCCTAAGCCGGTGGGAGTGTTACGAGTTTCTACAATGGCGGAAACAGCTTCTGACGATGTCAAGCTAATTGATGTTGTCCACAAAAAACTTTTATTCAACCAACGGCCTTTACCAATTATGTGAATTTAGGGCTGAAATTAATTGCATCTAAAATTTGGACTCAGTCCATTGTTTGCTCCAAGCTAACTTATCTTCGTCAAACACCAAGTTATAGAAAATTTTTTGCAAGTCAGATTCCGTGAACTTGAGATATTCTTGCATGTAATTCACGACACCTCCATACTTTTCATCAAGTAAGTCAATCGTAGCGAGCATGGCTTCGTAGCGGGAGCTTAAAAGATTCTGCAATCCATCCTTTTCAAGAGTCCATCCCTTACGTCCGCGACCAATCATAGTTTCCAAATCGTGCAACAGGATCTTAGTCTTGAACTTCTCTAATCCAGCTTCAAAAGCCTTCGCAATCTTGGGGTGGTCTGGCTTCAATCCATGACTTGTCAAGTCGTACTCTCTTGCAATGGTGTGCTTGTCAACGCCCACGAATCTCAAGACCAACATACAAAATACGCCTGTCCTGTCCTTGCCTGCTGTACAGTGGAAAACAAATGGTTCGTTAGGGTGATCACGAATATGCTCAAACATCTTTTGGAAAGAAGCGTATCCTTCCTCAAGCATGTTGTCGTACAAGTTCACATAAGTGTCCCAATGGGTAAGTAGATTGGCTGTTTTGAGGGCGAGCGCTTGAGGAGAGGCATCTTCATTGGCAAAAACGGGATTGAAGACCCTCTCGATGTTTAATTTATCCAAATCTTCCGCCACACCATCTTTGGCACACTCTTGATTAGAACGAAGGTCGTACACCTTTCTAATTCTTAAATCTCTTAAAGATGATTTTCCTTTGGCAGTCACAAGGTTTGTGTTGGCGCATCTATAGATGAAATTAGGGCGGACAATGGCCGATCTTATCCCATCGATGGGATAGCGAGGTCTTGTGACTCGCCAACCACCAATATCTCTAAAGTTTGAAATCCCGTCGATCGTCTTCCACCTCGAAACATCATTGATCAGCTTTGATGAGAAGAGAAACCTGATCAGCTCCTGCTCTGGTTGAAGATACCTCAAAATGTAGGCGGCAGCCAAGTGGTTGTAGTTGACCAATTTGTTCTTGTTTAAAGGAAGGTTATAGGGGTTGATGATATCGGCGTCGTCTTCATCTTCTAATGGTTCAACTCCGTAAAAGTTGTGGTCTGCTCCAGGAATCAACTGGAGCTCGTGGGAGTAAAAGCCACGGTTGAGATGGTTCGCATAATGAGCGCTATCAACCCTTGGAATTATATCATCCTCCATTCCATAGACACTCAACACTGACCACTTAAGCGAAAGGTCTCTTAACTTCGTCAAGTCAGGTTTCAGGAGCTCATCGATCTCGTTCTTTGGGATCTTGTATTTTTCCCACTTACCATAGCGAAGGCCAGTTTGCAACAAGTACTCCCAGGTATTGTCCTCACTGGGATATCTGTCATACACTGTTTTCGATTCAAATCTGGCCGACATATTGATAAGGTTTGGAACTATGATGGCTCTTTGTGGATCAGTAGAAAAGATTCTGTCCTGTTCCATGGCCCAAAGAAACATGGCCACGCTGCCACGAGAATGGCCAATTAAAGCTGCAATCTCAAAATCAATACCGAGTGTGTTCTTGGCTCCATCAACGAGGTAGAGCACCGAATTATGAATGTCAGTGGTGTCGGACTCAAGCGTTCTTCCAAGAGTGGGATCATCGTAGTCGTTCGAATCTCCACAACCTCTGAAGTCAATTCTGAATGAATACAAGCCTAATTCCGCGGCTAATCTATGTGCCACTACCTTCTGGTAGCAGTAGTCACGATGACCCCCCTGGCCATGCAAAAGTAATGCAACTCGTTTGGTTGGAGAGGCGTATTCATATCTCTCATCCCCATCGATATCGGCAGCATGAGGAATAGCGAGTGTTCCGGTGACACCTCCTGGAATTTTGACTTTGATTTCACGCGGAGGCACAGTGGTCTCCTTGATCACCAAATCGTCATTCAATCCCATCTTGTTGAAGATTACACCTATCCAGACCGTTGTGCACTATATATGGCCCGTGTTCATGCAGTATGTATTGCGTTCTCTGGGCTCTAAACTCCTAAAAACGGCCCGCACAGAAACAGGTGCGGGGTGGATATAGTGTTGCCGAGGTCGAATTTAAGATATGCTAAGCTATATCTTTGCTTGCAAGTGTCCTCATAAGCTTCAAACAATCCGCTCATCTCTCATTTCATCGAAGTATGTCTTATACCTATACATCGAAAGGACCTATGCTCAATCACTCGGACACTTCATAGTATGTGATAGAAATCACATTGAAAGCTGGGCAGCCACAGTGCACCATAACCACGATACTAAGAATAGAATAAAAAATTTTCGAATCGAAAGAACTCTATCTCGAAACACAAAACGTGCCAGAATCCCACTAAAACACAATTGGTATTTTTACCCAGTAGAACGAATTGAAGTACCAAGCAAATCTGGAAGAGGTTGCAAAATCGCTGATCCTGCACTCTACTAACGCTACTTACTGATTATCGCGGTAGAGATAAAAGGTTAAGCAAATGTCCCGCTTGACTTCTGATAGGGATGCATACTCAAAGCTAGGGCAATCGATCAGTCAAAAACATGCCGATGAGCTCTCTGCTCAACTATCCGTCTTTCAATCTGTTGTGGTCAATTTTGCCGTAGACCATAGCAGCAACATCAGATCAAATCCTGAATTCCGATCCAAATTCACCAGCATCTGCCTGCTGATAGGAATTGATGCCTTGGAGCTTCTAATACTCTTGGAGCTGCGGCTGAAGAAGAAGGACAACTACTTCTGTGGTCTAGCGATAAAAATAGTGGAGATATGCCACCAGACCCGTGACATCAACGGAGGTCTTATCTCAATGAAGGAACTACGCTCGCGTATGGAAGATTGCAACAGTGTTCCACTTAAAGTAGCAGAAGACGATGTCGTGAAAGCACTCAATGTCCTCAATGGTTTGGGTGAGGGATTTGAGCTACTTACGATCAATAAGAAGAGGTGGGTGAGACACATTACTTCATCGGGCAAGAACAGCATCTCTTCTGACCAACAAAAGGTTTACGAATTGTGTGAGTTCATGGGAGGTTTCGTTACTGTGCGGCTACTACGTGATAACTATGGTTGGGATAAAGTTCGTCTGAAAACCGTGATTGATGAGATGATCATGAACGGGTTCTTATGGATAGACTCGCAAGGCCCTAATGAAACGCAGTACTGGGAACCTTCATGGATATCGAAATAACCTTCATTGTTCGATTTTTCTCTTCTTCTTCTCGAGAAATTTCGCATTTTGTTGTTCCACTGTCTCACCTAGAGGTCTATTAGTGATGGGCACATAAGTCTTGTAAGCCCTTCCCACTCCGTCACCAAGGTTCATGGTGTTACGCAACCCCGAAATATTACCACTGATGAAGGTACCGCTCATCATCGACACAATCTGCGATTTAATCTTTTGGTCCACTACGTAACCGTTGAGCTTCTGACATTCTTTTTGAAACTTCAACAGTTGTTGAGTGCCAAAATCGGTGGCTTGTGAGAGCCATTCCATATCCGGAAAGACGCAGTCATATAGAACTAGAGGTACATCGTGTGCCATATCATATAGTGGCCGACTAGGATACTTTTCGATATCCATTAGATCTGACACAATCGAAGGTTTTTCAAGGCCTTGTCCGGTGAGGAACAAAATAGCCATCATGCAGCGAACCTGGTGCCATAGAAATGCGGAACCTTTGAGATCAAAGACAAAAAAATTGTCTTGCAAGGGCAATATTTTTGCTGAATGTATAACTCTTCTATGATTAGTTATCTGCTTTGATCCATCAACTTTGCAGAAGTTTCGGAAATCATGTTCACCTTCAAAATTTCTAGCAGCTTCCGTCATGGCCTCAATATTAAGGTTTTCACCGCTGAAAACATATTTATAATGTCTGTATACACAGCTAAACCTTGCGTCAAACCCTTCAGGTGGTCGAAGGCATACTGCTGTTATTCTGATATCTAGCGGAAGTAGAGCGTTAAGAATTGTCACGTAGGGAAGCTCTTTCTCGTCACAAGCACGTTCTGCTTGCTCCTGGGAATCTAAATTAGAACGAACTCGTAAAGAAATCACTTGATTCAAAGCACTGACCCCCTTATCAGTACGCCCACATCTACTGAATTCGCAAGCAGCGGGGTCAGCGTCTGTGATTAGTTTCGCTTTCTTCATAGCCTCAAGTATAGCTTCCTCAACCGTAGGTAACGGAGTGTGATCATATTGGAAATTGAGCCCGTTATAGTTCCACCCCATATAGGCAAACCTCAATGCAATGAATCTCGTGTTAAATTTGGAGAAATCAAACTGTTTTTGTTTCGGTTTTCCAGTGGACTTTGAACTGTCGTGAATCTCATCTCCTTCCATGGATCTTATCTTTTGAATGAGTTCGGCCTTCGACCACGACTCATAGTTTATTTTGTTTGAGCTCGCAATTCTTTTTGAGTTTTCTGCCATCCTTTGTAGTGTCCTCTTCATCGATTATAGGTGTACTATCATGGTGCGATGCGCATCGCAAAAAAGCCTAAGCAGATACACCTCAAAACCACCACCGCTTCAATATTACAGGGGAGGATACGAAAGAATGTCGCTAGAATGGGAAAATGTGACGAAGGATCTCCATCCATGGCTTAGGGATGCTGTTGAAGCTCTCGGGTTTTCCCTGATGACTCCAGTTCAAGCTTCCACCATACCTCTTCTTAGTGGAAATAAGGACGTTGTGGTACAATCAGTCACAGGTTCGGGAAAAACATTGGCGTTTGTGATTCCGGTCTTGCAACACGTGTCACGTATTTTATATGGTATACCAGAGAAGGATGTTGAGCCCACATCTTTGAAAAAGAGCACTTTATGTGCTGTGGTACTTTCGCCAACTAGAGAATTGGCCTTCCAGATAAAGGCCGTTTTTGACCAGCTCATCGCAAATATCCCTGATTCCCTAAGCAGCATCAAAACACAACTTGTTGTGGGCTCGCTCAACAGTACTAGGGAGGATATCGATAGCTTTAATCAAGCAAAACCACACATCGTGATTGGCACTCCAGGAAGAGTGTTGGATTTCCTATCAACGCCTAAAATATCCGCAGTTCATGTCGAGGTTGTTATACTTGACGAGGCTGATAGACTACTCGACCAGTCTTTCGAGACTGATGTAATCTCAATACTCAGACATTTGCCAAAGCAGCGGCGAACAGGCCTATTTTCGGCTACTTTATCTGCCTCGGGTGATCGGATTTTCAAAACGGGTATGTTGAATCCCGTTAAAGTGGCTGTTCAATCGAAGCTGTCCGTTGCAGCCGCACCAGCCTCTCTTACCATGAAGTATATTGTGGTGAAACCAGAGCAAAAGCTTACCACATTCATCAAACTTGTGCAAAACTATAACTTCAAAAAGTGTATGGTATATTTTCCTACATGCTTGTCTGTCAAATACTTCCATCAATTGTTGCAATTGTGCCTGCTGGTGGATAAGACCGGGCTTGAAAATGTCAAATTCTACTCATTGTTTGGCCAGTTATCGACCACAGCTCGTCTTCGAACACTCAAAGCTTTCACCGATGGTGATTCTATGAGTAAAAAGCATGTTTTGTTGACAACGGATGTTGCAGCGAGGGGAATTGATATTCAAGATGTTGACCTTGTAATTCAACTTGATCCACCAAATGATCCCGATGTTTTCTTGCACAGAGCAGGAAGAACGGGAAGAGCAAATAAAGTGGGCAATTCCATCGTTTTTCTCAATGACGGTGGAAACGAGATAAATTATGTTGATTTCATGGAGGTCAAAGGAGTCTTTTTGAGTGAGATCCCCCTTGAACTAGACGCGGCCTTTCATGAAAAGTTTTACAAGGAAGTGGAGCGCTTCATGCTATCCGATAGATCTCACCATGAATTGGCAGTCAAAGCTTATGTCGCATTCGTCAAAAGTTACCTGAAGCATCTTGCAAAATCAATCTTCAGGATACAGTCTCTCGATTTCCTAGGATTAGCGAAAATGCATGGATTATTGAGACTTCCCAAAATGCCAGAAACACGTTACATCCCTCAGGACCTTATGCCCATCGATGGATGGCTCACTGACAATCCTTTGGACATGGACAAATATGCATACGCTGATTCTGCCAAAGAGAAGTCCAGACTTGAGTCCTTGGAGGAAAATAAACAGAAAATGATTAAGGACGCAAAAGAAAGAAAGCGCCTTTCCAAGCAGAATAAGTCCTGGTCGTCCAAGCTTGACTCTAAGGAACTAAAGTCGGAAAGAAATGAGCGTCTCAAACGAAAACGGGAAGAGATCGAAAAGCAATTATTGGAGGAGCCCTCAGATGAAGAAGAGCTCGCGGTTGATTGGAAGGACATTGTGCGACAGAATAAGAAGAACAAAAAGTCTTCAGGGATGCAAGGAGAATTTGATGATCTATAAATTCATGGTTTCCATTTCTCGCTTATGGTGTTAATGCCGTCGAAAATAACAAGGTTGTCCAAGGGTGTATATTGAGCAGTTGCAATTTTGAGAATCTCTTGACTCGCAATTCCACCCATTAGGCTGCACGTTCCATGGAAGTTTTTGGTGTGATGCTGATACACCTCGTGGAGTACCTTCTTGCAATTTTCTGGCAAACATTGCAAATCGAAAATAGCCAGGGTGTGCGAAAATGATTCTAGATACCCGGAGAATGAATTCGGACTTCCACGTGTTATCCATGAATGTAGAGCATGTATTCCATAGTGGATTGCCAAAGTATTAAACTTCTCTTCTGGGAACAATAACTTATTTTTGAGTTCATTAGAGAATGCAGCGCTCGATCCTCTGGAAAAATACAAGAATGCTGAGTTTTTGCAGAACGAGGCAACCAGATCGATCGGTACGTCTTCAGCTTTTCCAACTTTTGAGAGGAGCAGCTGAAGTAACTCAGCAAATTTCCCTTGATCTTTCAAAGCCTTGTTGCGATAGAGTTGTTGTAGTGTAATATAATTGGAAGTGCTCGACACCATGTCTGGTAGGGACCCTGGTAGTGGTAGTGCCCCTTCGTACTCCACAAAGTAGGCCAACGCCTTGACAAACATCCAGAAAAGGGGCGTCTCTTCACTCAAATTCTCATCACTGATTCTTTCATCTTCGAAGAGCTCCTTTAAGTAATTGGGAACCACTGTTTCCTGCAACGCACGATGTATTTGCAGGCTAGCCTCCAAAAAGTTTGCCTCAAGGTTGATATTGCGGGAGAGGCTCTCGATGTATTCAGCTTTAAATATGCGTTTTTCGGCGTAGTTTTTCGGAGGGCATCCACCATGATCCTTCTTCCAGTTTTGCAAGCCTTTGATGAAGATTACGATGTATGGCACATGTGCATGATCTGTATCATCCAAAGTGTCTAACTTGAAGGAGTCGACATACTGCTGCAATTCTGGCCACGGCTGGTCAATCCTCAAGTCATATAGCTGTGAAGGATCGTGGGTCTCCACTATGGTGGTCTCCTCGCAAAAGATTTGCAAAGTGCCGTAGAGACCACATGAGTTGACATGCAACAAGGGCACATTTTTGTTCCACAATCGTTGCTTTAATACCAACATGTCAGAAAGTGGAATGTAATCACTGACCAACACTATGTCAAACTCATCGAAGAACGCTGGATTTAGTAAGCAATCTTCAATGCTTTCTGGAACAGCACGATAAACAACATCTGGGTTCAATTCCAGGAGCAGCCGCGACATTTGATACGCAATTTTGAGCCCAATATCATCTTCTGTAAGAAAGAAGTTCCCACTCAAGTCCTCCTCGTTCACTACCCTCTCGTCGACGATCGTAAAAGCGCCAATACCCGGTAGTATGAGGTTCTTGAGGGCTTCTGCACCGGTGGGGGTGGCGTTGATGAGACAGATGTGACTTCTTTCGAGCCTAGACTGGCCGTCATTTGCCCATAATCGTAGCTGACGATCGTATCTTTCGGATTTATCTGATGCTGTAGCCATGGTGATATCCTAGAGGGACTGATATGTAGCGCGCAAATGTTGCTCCAGGACTTTGAGGCCGTTTTCAATTACTTGTGAGGATCAAATTACACATCTAATTCTGTATTGGTAGATAGATCACTAAACTATTGCACAAGACTTGTGCTGACCGACCATTTCATTGTATCTCTCCTTGTTGGCTTCTTTGAGTTTCTCCTTTACTTCTTCCGGGAATGCCATCTTTATAGTGCGCATGGCATCCAAATCCAAATTGGATGAATCAGCAGATGCTATTGCTCTCGACTGTCGACACAAAGGGCAATCCATCTTCCCTCGTTGTTTCATCTTCACCAAACATCGTACACAAAAGAGGTGACCACATAGAAGCCTTATTGGCTTGTAGGCAATGCTGACACATATGGGACAGCTATAATCATCTAGTTGAGGGACGATAACGAGAAGCGTAGTTTGTATAGTGTAGCAAATCGACTGAGCTAATGAAGATCCGTGAATAAAGACGTGGTCTTGTGAAATGAGGGCCGGGAATTCGGATGACACGTTGAAAGCTGTCTGTTTGTCAAACTTTTTAAGAATTTTTCGAAGAGCTGTAGTGTTGATGGATTGAAACATCAATATTTTAAACAAACGCTCGTTCACCGCCACAAATCGATCGAATGTGTTAACGGATCTCTTTCTAGCCATCTTCTCGAGAAGATTAGTTTTTGCAACATTGGCCGAGAAAATTTCCAAATTTTGTTTTATCATATCAGAAGTCCTTTCTAACTGTTGCAGTGAGGTCTCGTTATAGCGAAAAAATATCTCAGAATCTAGATAGATTTTGAACAATTCACGCCATAAGTATAGATCAGTCTTTTTCTCGGTGAGTTTCAGAACAGATTCAGAAACCTTTGATATTTCTTGAATAATGTTAGCCTCCTCTGTCTTCCGAATTTGATCCAAATTTTCTATCTCGGTGTTGAGCATTCCAAAGAACTTCAAATCTGAATTCAACAATACGACAATCTCGTTATTGCGCACAGACACTATATTCTTTTCATCGTGAGAGGTCTGTGGGGACAAAGTCAACCCATCATCATCTTCCTTGATCTCCACAAATTGATGTTCCTCGTCAGTAGCGTCCAAAACTCGTTGTAACTTTGAGCGAATGACATCAGCAAGTTCTAGCGTCCTCTGAGACTCGTTTGAGTCGATCGTAGTATCGTTGACAGAAATCTTTAAAAAAGGAACAACTTCGTTGGACTTCCTCGACTTAGCCAACAGATATTTCGCAACAACAGGGTTGTTTGGCACAGTTTCTTCGTCGAGAAGTTCAACCGATTCATTTCCACTTTCGTCTTGCAATAAGAGCTTCACATCTGATTTAGTCAATCCCAAGAACTCTAGCTCTTTAACCACCCTCCCGATACACTTCTTTAGAACCTTGTACTGGATAGCAGCCTCTGCCCACTCATCCGGAATTTCTTCCTCGATGAGGGTCTGCTGGAAAACTTTAGCAAATTTCATTATCGATGTAAGCCGCTATGTGGGGTATCATCTCCAAGGTGAGCCTGTTTATTTGATGTCTGGCTTAGGCTCGTAAAAACCCTTCAAGCTCTGAAGATAATATGCGCGCCAACTTTCGAGAGATGTGTCACTACCTTATCGAGGCAGCCCAAGGGACTAAAAGTGTCCCGCTGCAGGAAGACCATCACTAATACACGTGGTGTCGGGCAACAAAAATCTCGGCCATTAACAAGCATTTTTAACTTTAAAGGATGTGAATTCAAACATAAATTTTCAAGCCGTATGATATTACCCTCTCATCTCGTGAGTCGAATCCCACAGAGAGGTGATGTCTCGAATAATGAATTGCAAACTTTCTTGAAATAAGGTTGAGTATACGGATTGGTAGAGGATTACAGCAGCATACAACGAAAACCCTACGATTAGTAAAAAAAATTTGTAGACAGTGTCCTTTAAATATGTTGCAAACAGTTTAGCCAAAGTAATTCATACATAAGCCGAAGGCGAATCCATTTCGCCCCGAACAAAAATCAAAGGAATTGAATTATTCCTTGGAAATATCACGGCCAAACCATCCAACCTTGATCCAGTCGAAGCAAACTAAAATTTGGTTCTTGACAGAGAGACACATGTAGATGTAGGCCGATCTCCACAACAAAAAGGTGAAGGTACCACCCGAGCTAACGTTGGACCAATCACCCCAAACCAAGTCTGCCACGGCTCTCTCAGAACCAATGTATGCCAAAGATCCCTGATGATTGTACTCGAATGGAGGTAGATTGTTCTGGCTTCTCACAAGCTTCTTCTTGAGCCTGTCAACTCGTTCATCAGGTGAAGAGTTCGAAATCTTGTACTTCAAATCTTCCACATCATGCAATCTGTGGAAATGTTCCGCCAAAAAAATTCCTTGCTGAAATGCGACTTGAGCAGTTGGTGCATATTTGGTGAAAGTGCAATCACCTAATGCCCAAATGTTATCAGTTCCATCGACAAGTAATCTGTCATCCACCAAAAGGCCCTTCTTAGCATTGTTCTGCTCTTCGATTTTGGAGGAAAGGTTTCCGATAATTGGGCGTTTTGCATTGCCCGTTGCCCAGATCAACATACCATATGGAAGCTCTGTGACATCCTTCGAATCCGCTTTACTGACAGCATAAACAGTCTTGTCATTAACCTTCTGGACAACATGACTGCACAACAAGTTAATATTGGTATCCTTCATCACCTGACTAGTGTAATCCACCAACTTTTTGTTGAACATGCTCAACACATTGGGCATAGCTTCAACAAGAGTAATCTTAAGTTCTGATGCTATCTCGGGCATCCAAGCTTTCAAGTCCTGATCAATGTAATCCTGCAATTCGCCGGCAACCTCGACACCGGTAGGGCCACCTCCACAGACAACGATATGACACAATCTCTTTCTTTCGGGATCATCCTTAGGCAAGATGTTCGCAGCTTCAAGGACATCCATCAATCTTCTTCTGATTTTCATCGAATCGCTGACCTCTTTCAAGAAGGTGGAATGCTCAGCTACACCTGGCAATCCAAAGGTCGAAGGCTGAGCACCCACGCCGACAACAAGATAGTCATAGTCCAAAGACGTGATAATGTCCTCAGAAAGTGATGGCTTAGCAGAGCCTGAGTCTTTGCCGGAATGACCTGAATGAACCGTTGTCAGCTGTTTGATAGTAAGACGGTTATTCACTGGATCAATATCAGTGGCTTCAGCCTCCAAATAGATAACCTCTCCGGGACATCTTCTAGTGATTGCACGAACAGGCTCAATAATCGACCTAACTTCAACTGTGCCAGTAGGACAGGAGGGAAGCAATGGTGTGAAAAGAAAGTAATTCCGGGGCGAGACGATGACTACGTTGTATAACGTGGTGTCTAACTTCTTCAAAAGCGAGATGGATCCCCAACCGGATCCCAAGATCACAAGGGTTTTCTTCTTCCTTCCATCTGGAAATGTGGGTGCCTGCTTTTGTTGTTCCTCTGGATAGGATTCCCTCCAAACTTTGAAGCTCACATAACCAATTGATGCCAAGGTGAATGCAAGAGAGCCGTACCCAATAGTTTTGAGAGTTTTCTTCAAAATACCCCCACTAGATTTCGGCAGAGCTGCACTACCAAGGCGAGGAGAGGAAGCAAATGAACGACGTGCTGCCAACCTTCCTGTAGCCGAGGCACCAAAGCCTATAATTCTCGTTCTAAACATCTCAGGGCCGAGCTTGTAGAAGAAATGGTAGGCAAGTTTGAAGCGGATGAATTTATAAAGACGTCGCGGCTTTTTCGGAGTTTTGCTTGCTCGGCGACAGGAGACCGATTATCTCGCGCCGTTGAAGTTTGATTGGGTCGTACATGCTGCACCGAACGTGGTAATAGATGCCACGTAATTGGTAAAATTTTACAGTAAAGAAAACGGCGAGAGCTTAAGAAATGGGTTATAAACCGTCTGAGAATGGGAGCTCAATTTCAGAAAGAAAAATGGTTTTGTGATCCTTTGTTATCGGCGCCTCACCTCCGAACTCGTAGGTTTGCGCAGCGTTCAAATTGCTACTATCCGTTTCCTACGTTTAAAATGAATTCGCCTATACAAATCCGCTCACTCGTTCATCGGTCCACCTGTGTAGCTTCTCTTGTCTTAGATGGTGTGATTTGCGAGATGCCTTGAATCGGTGCAAAGAGTCTAGCAATGTTGACGCCGAGCTGTCATTTTGACAAATGCTGACTGTGGTACTTGAAGCCTCTGTCTCTGTATTGCTTTTCAACTTTTGCTTTAGGACATTCTGATTGAAGTTTGAGGCCAAAAGCTGGAACTGGTATGTCTCCAAAGCGATGAACTCTTTATAAATCTGATCAAGTAGAATAATTTGGTTATGAATTCTGGTTGAGATACTCAGGTACTCCCTTATCATCATGAGTAGTTGTTGTATTTTCGGCTCAAGAGCGCTGAGCAGACTCAAGAGTCCAGCTCGAAAGTCCTCATAAAACGGCGCTGATGTCACATAGCCCAAAAGCAAGGAATGTTCCTTGCAAAAGTTCGTTTGGTATTCATCTGGAAGATTTCGTAGATCGTCCGAAATAGGGAATTCGTTGAAGGTCATGCTATTTGTTCTCATACTCGTTGTTACCGTATCTCATGTGCGACTAGTAGGTATAAGGTTAGTATACAGACAGGATCGCAAGAAAAGGCTGCTCAAGCACGGACACTATTTAGTACATACGACATGGAATTCGTTCTCAGAATATTCTGTACTCACACTTTCAAAGGCCAAAATCAATTATCAGACATCAAGTTGAGGTCTGCATTGGGCACTTTGAAGCCCCTAACGCTTGTTTCGGAGAAGTGATTCCTCAATTAGGTCGATTGACTGCTCCACTTCTGCGATGGACATACCGCAACTCAAGGCTATCAATTTGCAATACTTGAACAATTTGTCTTCGCGCGGTATACCAGACATTACGCCCTGGAGCTTCGCGAGACTTTCATCACTCTTCTCTGCATTGCCAGTTTGATTTTCTTTGTAATCATCATTGCTCCAGTTCATCAATGGTGTGGCACCTTCAAGATGGTAAACTTGTCCAGCAAGAAGTCTTCTTCTTTGAATTTCACCTTGGAGTTCAACCGCGGATCGTAACCGTTCATCGTTGCCCTTCTCTTTCGCCAGATTCTGTGACGATTCGATATCATTCCATAGTCTCTGCAGACACAACTTTTCTCTCCTGATTATGAATTGCTCGCACATTCGTTGCAAGTCTTCCCGGACAATTAAAGACTGAAACGACATATCATTCAAGAGCCTCGCAATCTCTTCTTGGATAATCAAGTCTCGGGATGTATTAAAAACCATGCTGTCTCCATCGAGCTTTAAATTGATATGTTTACCTGATTCGAACTCCTTTTCCATGTCCTCCACAAGATAGTCTAGCTTGAAAATTTTCAAATTAGCCTTCTGTGAGGTGAATTTCTCATAGCAGAGTTTCCGAAGACATTTGTATAGTCTGAAAAGTTTCTCGTCTTTAGCACCCAATTCGCGATCAATCGCATAAGCCAACTCGCTTAACTTCTCTGTCACAGTATTGGACACTTCGTTTTGACGACTGATCTCCACCTTTGTATTTTGCAATTGTGATTGGAAACTTTGAGAGCGGCCAAAATCATCGTGCCGTAGATCCATATCACCCTTTGTGGAAACATCTAGAACCTTTCTTTCTTCGAGTGCATCATCCTCAATCCTTAGTACGTAGTTGTGAGATGCAAGGTAGTCCTCTACTGTGTGATTCACAGCATTTTTAAGTTCTAAGTTGAGCAACTTGTGGAAGCGAATCATTGATTTGATGCACTTTTTGCTGAGATGGTACGCGAATAAGTGTAATGCGGTATTTTCTTCCAGATCTTGGACATTCAAGAATTCAGCAAAATGAAGCTTTGTGGTACTTCTGGACCCAATCTCTTCCAGAAGAAAGTCTAGAAGCTTTTCCAAGTAGTAGTTTGCATATCGCTCCATGAAACGCCGATGACCAGAATCTCTCTCATTGTGATGGCTCGTCTTACAGGAATTAGCGATGTGATGCAAGACGGTCTGGCCTCTATTGTCAGTCAAGTGAATAGTGTTTTCAAGCAAATCAATGATTTTCGAGAAGTTTTGCTGTTGAAAGCTATTGTTGAACTTAACCATAAACATTAAAGGGCTCTCACCCAAGTAGTTTTTTGCTCCTAAATCGATATAGGAACTGAACTTTGTGACCAAAAACTGTAGAAGCGTAGTATTCGCCATCGCACACACCCAGTGAAGAAGACAATTTCCATCATTGTCCACTCGCTGGTTGATCTTGATATCGCTCAAAGGTTCAGGGGGATTCAATATTTCATCTGGTAAATTTTGCTCGCTTTTAGATTCAGTATGTGAGCTTTTGTCGTCGTGCAAAAAGTAATCAAGAAGCGTTGTGAAATAATCGTAGAGGCCGGTGCCACTCTGCTTGTCGGTAACAAGGCCCGTTGATATCGGAGTGTGATGATATTGTGTTAAACCATTGAAAGACGAGTTCACCCCATTGAGGGAGTGCTGGCGACCGGACGGCATGCTTGAATGGATTCTGCTTCGCCTATGAAAATCCAAGAGCTTTTCAAAAGACTCCCTCCCTGAAAATGAATCATTCCCGCCGAAAAGCTCTCTGCCTGATAAAAATCCATCGTCTTCATCCCGCGTGCTCGAGTCCCGTACTTCATGACTTTTACGATTACTCTCGTCTGCACTTGTGTCCAGTTCCAAATCATCATTTCTTATGCTGAGGTTACTTGCCATTATTTGAAGTGCATCCTTTTCTGTGTCTTGCCTTGTTAATGACGGAAATGATGGTATCATTTGAGAGGCAGAGGAATCTTGTCTGGAGGAGAATGTTCCCATGCTTGGACCTCTAGGGTTGGAAATTGGCATCGTTTGGCTAGATGATAGTTCTGGTTTATATCTGCCTTGAAGTGGCACTCTCTTTGGACGACCTCGTTTTTTAGAAGGCTCCTCGCCATTATCTTCTACTTTCGATTTCTTCCTAGGACCCGCGTCATTTGGCAGTAGATGGTCATTAGACGTTTTAAAAGATTGCTGTCTTCGAGCAATATTCGATGCAGACGCATGATTATGTTTTGGGGCTGGTGGCGGTGTGTCAGACTTTCCCTCGACATACACAAACTTGAAAATTGGCTCCAAAACCTCGTAGACACCAAACATGCGGGCAATTTCGGCACCCAGATCTAACGGAACGTAGGTGCCCTGGTACTTACCGTAGCCTCCTTGCACCTTTTCATGGATACCTGTCTGGACATCCTTTTCTAGAATCCTTGTTCGCTTCGCCTTTGGAAACTTGGCTATTTTGAGTATATGGGTGGCATTTATCCACCCGTCCGACTTTCGACGCATGATAGGACCCTCAGATGTCACAAATTCGAACACGGGAACATTTGAATATGTAGCTGAATATATTTGATTCGGATTTGAAGACATGACACTAGAGCTTTGATAAGACTCTCAAAGGTTTTGTTGAGAAACTCGCGCTGGACCAAGTGACGGCACAGAAACTGAGTTGACGGAATTGATGCGACTAATATCTAGGGCCTCAATTAACGGCAACCAGAGTTTCAATATTGGATGTCCGAGAAACGCTTCAGCTAGCTTCTGCGATTGTTTGGTGTATGTCCAGAAGGAATGCGCGGAGGAGCGTCCAAGCTTAGATTTACATATAGAAGTCACGTGGGAGCTTGTCTGTTGAAAGATACGAATCTACTGCCATCCATAAATCTGACCAAATCTAAATTCCTCTTAACCTACTATAATTTTATAAAACCTGTATAGCACAAAGGCCATAAAGGCAAGAGTGAGAGACGTGAAATATAGGAGCTGCTTCCTAATATCGGAGACCGACAACCGTGAATGCTGCTCACCCGTGAGAGGAATACTTAGCACATGCTCTGCCGCTTGATAACAAATTGTTCTGCGTTTGATGCTTTCTCGCTCATCATTATCGATATTGCGCTTTAATATCAGCTTTCCGAGGAGTATGTCTGTATAGTTCTTTAAAGATGTATCTAGCGTCAAAAAAACAGTCTCCAAGACACGCAGTTCACGTCTTAAACCGTCTGTTACATCTTCAATTCTTATGAGGTCGGCGCGATTCCTGAGAGGATCACAGCAAATCTCTTCTTTCCTGTCAACTATTATCTTTGTCTCGAGCAAGAAAGTTGTCTTCTTCACCAGACGTAATACCACTTTGACATTTATCATTAGACACGGTACAATAAGCTTCCTTAAATTGTCAAATTGCAGGAAGAAGAGCTCCACACATACAACACATTTGCGCAATTCTTCAACGGCTTCATAGAAACTTCTCAATACTATTGAAGCAAAAGTTTTCACTCTTTTTTCATATGGAAGATTCTCCCAATTCCAAACGTTCAGAGAACTGGCAAAGATTTTGTTTATATCGTATTCTAGGCGACTCATATTTGCCTTATTCTTATCAGCCATAGCTGTTATGTCGTCGAACTGGGGGACCTTATTCAACAAGGTTGCATAGATAGTCACGGCGTCACAAAGTACATGTATTATCTGCTTGGCATTCAAAAGCCACTCTCGAACATTGTGATTTAGACATATGAGGAACATCTCTGGTCGTGCTTTTATGAACGTAATGGCATCCGGAGTCAAATCACCTCTCAAGGATACCGACTTGAGACCTGTGCGATATGTCATCTTATAAATTATCCCCAAAATGACAAGTTGTGTGTCCTGTGCATCTAGAAGAGGCCAACTAAATTAAAATAGTCGAAGTATTGAGAAAAGCGCTCCCCTTTATGTACTTTTTTCCTCCAATGATCGCGAAATAGAGGAACCTTGAATGAAGCATTACGACTATTAGATAGAGCTAAATTCACCTGGTTTTCGTATTTACGAACTAGGATTCTCCATTGCCACGATGAAAAATCACTTTTACGCTCAATCAGTATGTGAAGATAATAAATTGGTCACATCACGTGTCTCAGCACGTGCCTTAGTTTCGTCATATTTGATGACTCCGATAAGCTTTACCAGAGTGTGCCTCAACAATAAAGTGAATTAGTGCAGCCTTTTATTAAAGAAGCATCACAAAAGATGCCTATAGTACTTAACATTTTCTCAGGGCCAAGATGGTATTATCCATACTATCGTGTATTACCTGCAGTACGAAAAGTAAGTTACTTATGGAATAGCTTGCGCTTTGGGTTCTTGCATTCATGGGTCTTTTCAATTTCCTTGGGAAACAGGATTTTGATGTTGCATCTTTTGAAAAGGAGTTGTCGTTACTCAGCTCCAGAATACAGGAAACTCAGAGCAGAATAGATGGATTAAACAAAACGAAGAAAACAGTGCAACGCTACCTCACTTACTATGTTGCTGCATTTTATATACTATGGATCGCTTATACGATGGTCATGCTTGGTGATGACTTGAGAAATCAAACGTCTTTAATGCTATTATTGATCAAAGCTTTGGGCTCTCGAGTTTCGATAGCAGTTGGGTTGCCAGTGACAGCGATATGTGTGAGATACCTTCTTACTATTCTATTCGACTTCTTCATCAAACGCCAAAAGAATGTACTACGAGTATCTCTTGAACGAAGGCGAAATAAGCTTGAAGATCTCAAAAAGAGAACAAATTTCGATGCAACGCAGGGTATAATAAATCGATACGGTTCTCGTGCCTCAGCCCCTCAACCACTCAAAGTAAAACCTTCAATCGGAGCAAGGAACGAAAGCCCAGTTGCCCAAACAGAGAATTCCCAAGGTGGTATAACGAATGTGTCACCTACGGGCAACAAGCCCAACCAATCTATGAACAAAGGTATTTCGTTGAAGCAAGACCAACGTACTTTGCAAGATAAATTATTAGATTACATTATTGGATCTGACCACAACGAAAGTGTGGAGAATCGCTTTGCCTTAATATGTGAGAGATGTTTTACACACAACGGTCTCGCTCCTCCGGGTTGTAAAGACCCCTCTGGGGTCATTTTCATTTGCAGAAAATGTGGTTGCTTAAATGGTCGCAAAGCATTGAGTCATCAAAGCAACTCTGGCATTCTGCAAACGTCTACTTCAAGCCCATCCGAAGAGCTTTCGCAGCAGCCGATTATTGAAGAGAAGGCCTCCAAATAAATGCGTGCTTATTACAATAGTTCATTATAACGCGAATAGATGTAGAGAAAATTTATTGAAAACTTAAGACAATTCCATAATTGCGTTAACCATATCATTCTTGTGTTTTCTCAAAGCAGCAATTGCCTTCGCTCTGGACACATGAGTTTGCTCAACAATGATATCAATGTCAGATGACTCCAAGCCATCCTCATTTACATCATTTTCATCAATCTCCTCTGGTTTGGCACTATTCAAAGAAGCTTTCTCGAGGTCGGCTGTAATAGCTTCTGGAGACTTGTCAGTAGAGCCTTCAGCGGCATCAACTTCCGAAGATGCAGCAGCGGCCTGTTGCTGGGCCTGTGCTTCAGCGATACGTTGGTTCATGTCATCAACCTTTGCTTCACCAAAAACAACATATGTGCCAGCTGCAGATTTGTAAACGTCTGGCTCGTCAATGGCATAAATCAAGTTTCCCTTTTGCTTGAAAGTCACCCTGGAAATTCCTTTAATCTGCTTCAAATTGAACTTTTTGATAATCTCTCTAGCCTTCTTCTCATTTTTAGAGATGATGCTGACTTCGGAGCCCTGTGGGATTTCTTCAATGGACATATTTGAGTATTTCAAGTGGTTGGGTGAGTTTTTCTTTTTTTTTTTTTTTCCAACGAATTTTTATTCGCACTAAAACTCCATTGGCGCTGAATAGTATGTAGGATATTAGTACCGAAATCTCTTGTTCTTCCGTAGGGCCCGGCCTCACCCGCCTGGATACAGTACTTAGTGAGTAGCTAATATAAAGCGTGGAACCTTCACCCATAACATTGGAGGAACTGAGTGAGCAGCTCTTATGAGTTTTCTTCTTTCTCTATTTTTATTAGTATCAGCTACGCTACACCGCAAATGCTCATCATTTTACCTGTCACGAATACTTTACCCACGGGTGCAGGGGTGCGGAAATATTTGTCTCCGGCAGCCGACTAGGCAATCTAACCGAAAGTAAAGTTGCATAGTGCTCACCGATTTGTTTTTCCTTCTTCTGTTGAACCATTTAACACTTTTTGGTCCAGTTATTTGTTCTATTAATTGTTGGATCTTCAAAAGCCTCAAGCTTTCTTCAAAGATACTCATCACCAATTAAACTGTCGCTTTAGGGTTACCCTTGAGTAAGCAGGGATGACCAATACGTCTGAATCAAAGGTTTCGTCCGATGCTACTCAAAGGCTGCACAATGAGCAGCCACAAGTCAGTAACACCAAAGTGGGAAAGGAGAGATGCACTATTCATGACCTAGAAACAGCGGTCCCTCCAACCTTTAAAGCGAGAATCCATAGATTTTTTTTCAAGCATGGTTTAGCTGCCAGGCCTCCGTACTTGCAAGAAATTTATGCACAGATTCCCCGAAGAGTTTATGTTAATACGGATTTACCCGAGGACTCCGTTCATCAAGATACACAGAAGCCTCTCATTGAGATGCCACGAAACAAAATTAGATCCACAAAGTATACGCCACTATCCTTCATTCCCAAGAATTTGGTTTATCAGTTTGAGAATATCGCAAATATTTATTTCTTGGTGCTTGTCATTTTGGGAGCATTTCAAGTCTTCGGTGTCGAAAGTCCAGGGCTAGCAGCTGTTCCATTGATCGTTATTGTTTGCATTACGGCGATCAAAGACGGCTTTGAGGACTTCAGAAGAGTCGTCAGTGATGCGGAGCTTAATAACTCGCCGATTCATTTGTTGACTGGCCTCCACAACAAAAATGTCACTACTGACTATGTCAGCCCTTGGAGAAGGTTCAAAAAGAGCTGCACCCGTGGTACTGTCAGAACTTTCAAGTGGTTAAAGAAAGTTTGCATCAAATTGTTTGCAAGCAAAGAGAAAAAACAGGAGTTCAATCAATCTGTATTGCAGGCGAGAGACAATGAATTGCGGAGAGTTTCAACAGTGCATTCGGAGCGCTCATATACCTCGTTCCACCCTCGATCGTCTATGACTTCTCAGAATCCAAGGAAGTCGTTTCAGCTGCATAAAGTCCGAGCCCCAACGAAACCATCGGCAGACTGCCTATTGAACCCTAAATTGCAGGAAAGTAGGACCCTTGATCCTTCAAGCAATGCAACTTCATTTAAAAATAGAAGATGGAAGGATGTTAATGTTGGAGATTTTGTCAGAGTTCGTGCTAATGAGGGTGTACCAGCTGATATGGTTATTATATCAACGTCGGACGATGATGGGATTTGTTACGTGGAGACTAAAAATTTAGATGGCGAGACAAATCTTAAGACCAAGAGCTGTCTCAAATCTGGTGGCCGAGATCATCTCAAGCATTCTACTGATCTTGGAAACACCAAGTTTTGGATTGAATGTGATCCACCTAATGCGCACCTTTACTCTTTTCGCGGTACCATTCACTATGAGAACTATGATGAACAAGGAACCTTACTTAACTCTGACGAAAAGGAGGCGATCACCTACGACAATGTCCTTTTGCGTGGTTGCGCTTTGCGTAACACGAAATGGGTCATAGGTGTGGTTGTTTACACAGGTAGTGAAACGAAAGTGGACATGAATAGTGGAAACACCCCTGTCAAAAAATCGAGGATTTCCAATGAACTTAATTTCCTGGTGCTCATTAACTTTTTGGTTTTATTCATATTGTGCTTTGTTTCGGGGCTCATAAATGGGTTGTTCTACAACCGTGAGAATGAATCTCGGCGTTATTTTGAGTTTGAGCCTTATTCTCCAACATCTGCGGGAAACGGTGTCCTTGCCTTTTTTGTGGCTTTAATCATTTATCAATCCTTGGTGCCCATTTCCCTTTACATCTCCATCGAGATCATCAAGACCGCTCAAGCCTTCTTCATTCACTCCGATATTAAGATGTATTATCCCAAGCTAGACTTTCCATGCATCCCACAATCATGGAACATCTCTGATGATTTGGGCCAAATAGCATACATTTTCAGTGACAAGACAGGAACATTGACACAAAATGTTATGGAGTTTCGCAAATGCACCATCAACGGAAAATCATACGGCCTCGCGTACACTGAAGCGAAGCAGGGTATGGACAAGCGGAGTGGGGTTGACATATTAGCTGAGTCCGAACGTTGGAAAAAGGCAATCGAGAAAGATCGTACCGAGATGGTTAATAATCTCGAGGCCTACGTGAAAAATGATCAATTTAGGGAATCGGCATTGACATTTGTTTCCAATCAGTATGTTGAAGATACTATTCTCCCAGACAAGATCAATAACGAGGTCAAACACTCCAATGAGAAATTTATGTTGGCTCTCGCTGTCTGCCATACTGTTGTTACTGAACCAGATGCGGAGGACGAGAAGCTTAATGAGTTTAAGGCGGAGTCCCCCGATGAAGCTGCGTTAGTATCTGTTGCGAGAGATTTAGGTTTTGTTTTCAAGCTGAGAAATCGAACCAGCATTGAATTAGAAATCTATGGTGAACGTAAAAGGTTCCAAATGCTCCATTTGATTGGATTTACTTCTGCGAGAAAGAGGATGTCGTGCATCGTGCGTGATGATGATGGGCGCATCTTATTGATATGTAAAGGCGCAGACAGTGTCATTTATCAGCGGTTGTCTCGAGAAGCAAGTAAGGACGAGATTCTTAAAAAGACAGCACTTCATCTTGAGGATTTCGCCAAGGAAGGGCTTCGTACACTCTGCATTGCGCAGAGGGAGTTGGATCAAAATGACTTCACTGATTGGCTACTGAGATACAAGGAGGCATCTTCCTCTATAGACGATGATAGAGACGAAGCCATTGATGCCCTTAATGACGAGTTGGAATGCAACTTGGAGTTGTTGGGTGGCACGGCAATTGAGGATCGATTACAAGAGGGTGTTCCAGACTCAATTTCAATATTGGGTGAGGCAGGAATAAGACTATGGGTTTTGACTGGTGATAGGATTGAAACTGCTATTAACATCGGATTCTCTTGCAATTTGCTTGGAAATGATATGAGACTTCTTGTTGTGCGTGTGAACGAGGACGATCCTGAGAACGTGAATCACATCGATAACTTACTTTCTGAATATCTTGGTGAAGTCGCCGGATTACACGACCAATCACACGCCAACATTGATGAAGCTCTCAATCAAGCAAAGAAGGACGTGTCTATGCCGAAAGCCAATACAGCCTTGATTGTGGACGGTGGCGCTTTGACTCATGTGTTTGGAGATCGCACGGGAGACATGATGTTGCAGAAGAAATTCGTTCTTCTTGGGAAACTTTGCAAGTCGGTAATTTGCTGTCGTGTGTCACCTGCGCAGAAAGCTCAAGTTGTTCAAGTTGTGAAGGAAAATCTCAACGCAATGTCGCTAGCGATTGGTGACGGAGCCAACGATGTTGCTATGATTCAAGCCGCCAACGTCGGGGTGGGAATCGCGGGTGAAGAAGGTAGGCAGGCTGTTATGTCTGCTGACTATGCCATCGGTCAATTTCGCTTCCTCACGAGGCTTTTGCTTGTACATGGCCACTGGTCTTATAAAAAGCTCGCAGAAATGATTCCATGCTTCTTTTATAAGAATGTTGTGTTCACGTTTACATGTTTCTGGTTTGGCATCTACAACGACTTTGATGGATCTTACCTTTACGAGTACACTTTTTTGATGTTTTACAATTTGGCTTTTACTTCGCTACCAGTTATCTTTCTTGGAATCTTTGATCAAGATGTCAGTGGTGCAGTGGCACTCATAGTTCCACAGCTTTATCGGTCAGGCATATTGAGTTTGGACTGGTCTCAATTCAAGTTCATCTGGTATATGATGGATGGGCTTTATCAGTCGGTGATTGCGTTCTTTTTCCCCTACCTCCTATACTATATTTCTTTTCAAAATCATGAGGGTTTGGCGGTGGATCATAGATTCTGGATGGGGGTTTTGTGTTGTTGCATTTCCGTCACAGGTTGCAACATTTATGTTTTATTACAACAGTATAGATGGGATTGGTTGTCTCTTCTATTCTACGCGCTTTCGACATTGGTGGTCTTCTTCTGGGTTGGCGTTTGGTCAGCGAGAGCGTGGGTGGGCGAATTCTATAAAGCTGCTCCACAGTTGTTCGGAACTCTTGGATTTTGGTGTTGCTATTTTGTGGCAACCATTATTTGTGTTTGGCCAAGATTTACCTACGATTTTTTGATGAGGCATTTCAGACCCAAGGATGTCGACATCATCCGTGAGAAAATGAGAGATGGTGCTTACCAAAACTATCCTACTGACTACGATCCCACGGATCTTCAAGATGTGGAGAGGCAGCGTATTTTACAACGCTTGAATGAGGGCGACACCGAGCTCTTAGAAAAGGTCAAGAACGCAATAGAGCCTAGTGACGATAGAGATTCAGATAATGGACTGGATGATAACAAAGTTTCCAGAGCGTTTAAATCCATTCGCAGAGGTACCATTTCAAGATCCCGGAACAATACCTTACGTTCAAGAAGAGAAACTATTAGTGATCAAGCCAAGTTCAATCAGAAGTTGCTTAGTAAGCCACTCGATTTACCCCAAATTCGCCTGGAAATGATGAAGTCTGGAGAGTATCAAACTGGAGCAAGAAATTCGTTGGATCGATTCTCAACGAGACAAGGCCTTCCGGGCTTGACCCAGGCCGAAACGCTCCTCAGTTATCATACGCGACACAGTATTAATTTTGATCGAACATAGTGATAAATACACGACCTCTATTAAATGCAAGAGATACAGTGAGCCCATCAAGTAGACATGTTCGATTACTGTCTCTTAAGTCTGTCCAGCCGTGGTGGTTTCAAAGCCTCTAAATTGGTTTTTGATAATGAAGTGCAAGTTATCGCTGACCCAAGTTGGGATGGAAACGATGTGAATGATGTTGATTTCATGGAACAGTTTTTGAAAGGAATTAACTTGATCCTCTTATCACACTCTACGCCAGAATTCATAGGCGGTTACGCTTTATTATGTTCCAAGTTTGAATCCCTCATGGCGGCCATTCCGGTCTATTCGACAGTTGCAGTCAGTCAATTGGGAAGGGTTTCCACAGTCGAGTTTTACAGAGCAAAGGGACTACTTGGTCCGGTGGCCCAGGCAATGTTTGAAGTCAGTGATATCGATGAATATTTTGACAAAATTATACTGATTAAGTACTCACAGAATGTGAGTGTTCTAGATAATCGTTTAACGTTATCCGCCTACAACGCGGGGCATTCTTTGGGTGGATCGTTTTGGCTCATTTCTAAAAGAAGTGAGAGAATAATCTACGCCCCCGGTTGGAATCAGTCTAGAGATTCCTTTCTCAATAATGCACAATTTCTCTCCGGAGCAACCGGAAATGCACATTCTTCATTAAGTCGGCCGACTGCTTTTATAACTGGATCTGAACTTGGATCGACCCTCTCCCACAAAAGGAGAGTTGAAAAAATACTCAATCTTGTCGATGCTACTTTGGCAAATGGTGGAGCTGTGCTCTTTCCAGTCACAATCTCAGGAAGATTTCTAGAGATTTTACATCTCATTGACCATCACCTAGCTGCAATCCAAGGTGCAGCAATACCTGTTTATTTCCTTTCTTACTCTGGAACGAAAGTACTCAATTACGCATCAGGACTCTCTGATTGGATGGCGTCAAACATCATGAAGGACCACGAGGGGTTTCAAAGTGAAGATAAGGCGTTTTTTGGCACATCATTTGACCCCTCGAAGGTGGATCTCCTCATTGATCCGTCGGAGCTCACTCGCTTCCCTGGTCCCAAAATTGTGTTCGCCTCAGGGGTCGAGATGGAAGACGGTGACCTTTCGACAAAGGCACTTTCGTTGCTTTGTCTGGATGAAAAAACAACGATTATATTGACTGAAAAAGGCGCTCTGCTGAATAAGGATTCTTTGTCATCGCAGCTCTATTCTGAATGGCATAATCTTGTTTCGCAAAAAAATGCTGGTGTCGTCGAAGATGGCACGCCAGTTCCCATCGAAAAGCATATACCAGCAAATTTCTTTTTTGATGAACTTTCTTTGAAAGGTACAGAGCTATCCACGTTTCAAGCTGAGGTTTCTGGTCGCAGGCATCAAAAAGCATTGAGCAAAATGAAGTCTAAGCGGGCTTTGAATCTCCTTCATTCGAGTATTCAGTCAGATGATTCAGATGAAGATGATGAAGAGATGGAGAACGATAATTTGTCAGACGATGTTGATGAAGTATCGCTCGATAATCTGTCTTCGAAAATTAGCAACATTAATCATTCTGACCTGAAAGACATTGTCGGGGATATGGTCGACCCAGGACATCATATTATTCAAGCGAAATCGCCAAAAAATGAGTTTTCTATCGCTTCGAGCACAGGGGGTGATACTTATCAATCATCAAGACTGACAGCACAGCCAAATGTGCTTTCTGTGCCAACTATTGACGAGAGTTACATAACAGATTTTATTCTCGAAAGATGTGAAAACAATAAACCTGTGGATTTCCGCATCACGACGAGATTCCGGCCTAGACAAGCAATGTTCCCGATCCTTGGCTCCAAACGAAAGAAGGTCGATGATTACGGGGAAGTGATTGATCCCAAAAGATTTAGAAAAGAGGACGAGCAAAATGTTAATTCGAGACTCATATCTGAAAGCAAGAAAAAATTTGAAGAAGGTCATGGGAGAGAATGGGGCAACGTGGATGGAAGAAGGGAGAGGAATAGGAATGATCGAGAGAGATTTCTAGTGGACAGCAAGCTCACGCCTCAACAAGTTCTAAACAACGATATTTTAAGAAAGTATCTTGATACCACGTTCAACCCTATCAAAAGGGTGAGAATGACTAGACGCGCCGGAATTGTGATCCGTTGCGGTTTAGCCTTCATTGATTTTTCGGGCTATGCTGACGCACGATCTATGAACTTGGTGATCTCTTCGCTCAGACCTTCTCATCTTATTATATTGCCCGATAACTCATTCATGGATGGACTTCAACCTGGTATCGACGGAGCCGCTCTAGTTGCTAAAGCGCACATAAGAACTACAAGTGCCGAAGGATTCTCAGGTTCTACCCTACCATCTGAAATTGTCATGAAGCTGAGCAGTTTTTTCTCTCAAAAATCTCTCAAGTCATCGATAGCAGCGGAGATGCAAGTGAGTGTCGCTAAACCCAACACACCCATCGAAGTTGGCAAAACTGGCCATAGTGTCAGCACTGGAGAATTTGAGATATCCATTGATGACAACCTTTGGGCGGAACTCAATTGGCGGTCCATCGACAAAAAGTATAAGGTTGCATATGTTTCTGGATTATTTGACGTGTGTGCCAAACCCTCGGACAATGGGGCGGAAAACGCATCTGAATCTATCGTGCTGATCGATCTCAAAGCCGCATCTGCTTCGCAAGATTCGATCGAACTTTGCGGCAACGACCATGAAGGAAAGCAGGCGATTGGTCTGATAAGAATGCCAGAATTGAAAAAGAAGTTGAAGATTCTCGGATTTGAAGCTGAGTTTAAAGGCGAGGGAACCTTAGTAGTGGAAGATGCAATTGCCGTTAGGAAATCAGATGCCTATGATAGCGGCGATACTGGTCTTGGCGATATTATTATAGATGGCCATGTGGGGCCCACTTACTACAAGGTGAGAAAATGCATTAGGAGCATGTTAGCATACGTTCAATAAGGCTAACTTTTGACTAAATAGTAAGTATGAGCATTCAACACAGACAAGTTGTAGTGTCATGCACAATAATCTCAGCCAATCTCGCGAAGCATAAAGGAAACATCAGTCTCCCTCTTAGCATTAAAATGCAGCCCTATTCAAGAACTGGAGGAACGAGGAAATGTTTTTATGAATTTCAAACTCTCGTATCATGCTACACATCATCTGAAACTTCTACGAAAAAAGAGTGCACGCCCATCTTCGATGATTACTTTGAATGTTTGCATGGTTACAAGGAACGTGAGAAATCGAGATTGATGTATCAACAACTCAAGGCCAATGAATCATCTGATAAGGACATCAAACCGCTGAGCTTTTTCAGTAATGGAGGTGAAAGTTATAAAAGATTGGATCTCGTTTGATTCATGTCATCGCGAACTTTGTTAGCTTACATACTTTGAATAAAGATTTAGACATCTTCGATACTGGCTTTTCTATTTACTTAGTTTCGCAAGAGACCTTGAAAGATCTCGATGGGTTTGACAGTAATGGGATTCATAAAGGATATTCTCCCACAAAATTGCACTGTGCGCACTCGATGTCTTCATGTTACAATCGATCAAGTCATGTTCGAATCCTAACTTGTGAACAGTATCCTCCACTTTGTCCTCGGTTGACCATAAAGTATTAACAAAGTCACCGTATCTATGCAAAAGTTTGCTTATGAATTTGAAATTAGCATTTGTAGTTTTCTCAGGGGTGTGAAGTGACATCATGAAAAGTCGCTTTAGGAAGAGCATAACCCGAGTTTTTGAACCACTTTTAGATCTGAAAAAGATGAAATCCAAACACTTCACCAAAAGTTCTGACCTAGTGGATACGTTGACTGCAGGCTTCTCCTCTCCCAATTCTTCTCCAAGAGGGTCCTCGAGTCTAAGCGATTTGGTGGAAAGCTCCAAGTCGGCATCAAGGCCAATATCTGTAATCACGGCATAAAGACCCTCGACAAATCTAGATAAGTCAACCGGGAAAGGGAGCTTTCCGTGTTCTGTGTGATTTGAAATGAGAGCAAATGAGGTTGCAACACACAAAAGGATCTGTCTGATATCCTCTGCACCATAAATTCCTCTTGCGGGGAACTTGTGGATTCTACCAACATCCTGATCCCAAATTATTCTATCCATGAGTTCTTTGAGAACTTCAAGGAAATCACCAACGAGATCGATATTTGCCATAGGCCCAAACCTCGACAAGCCCTCTAAAACGGCGGCAACAAGGTTATGAGCATCAGAGGATTTCATCAAGCTGTCTCGAAGTGTCTCAAGATACAACTTGAAGAGACACTGAAGAATTTGGGCCTGAAATTGTACGCGGTCCTTGGCCGAGACTGCCTGCTCCGCCCTTAACATCTCTTCATCTATTGCTTTAGCTTCCTTTCTGGCTTTTCTTTCCTTCTTCGAGAGATGAACCCGTTGTTTTTTCAGTAAACCTTCTGTTGTTCGTTGATTTGAGTTATTGGTAAATGGATCGGCGTTATTTAAGATTGACAAACATAAAAATACATTGAACACCGACTCATCAACTCTATAACTCACCTTTTTGATCTTTGAGCTTAAAAGTCTAGTGATTTTGAGCGAAATTTCCCCTTGCTCACCGTCATCCTTCAACAAAGCCTCGATAGTGCGGATACAGTGTATGAACTGGTTAGTTGCATCCATGTCTCGAGGTTTTCGGCCCAAACATCTTATCAAAATCGAAAACAAGTCCTCATTGAAGTTAAAGTATCTTAACGAGGACATGCACAATTCACATGCCGCTGTAATCGATGTGGTCAATTGCAAGCGAGAAGTTGTGGGCTTTTGTGATTCTACAGACAACAATTGGAGACGGTCGATAAACTTTCGGTAAGACCTCACAAAACTTTCTTCGAAATCCCTTTGCTTCGCAACTTCTCGGCTAACTTTCTCTCTTTTCTCTGTTTCCGATAGAGCTCTAATCTTATAGGATGGTGCTAGCGATTTAAAAACAGGTACGAGCGCTGCAATAGCTAGAACACACTCCGCTTCCACCTCAGAGCATGCATAGCGACATAGTTCATTCAAAGCGTGTGTATTTTCATCCGGCTGGTCTTGCAATTGCGTGGCAAGTTTGGCAATATCCTCTTTAAGGGTTAATAGTTTTTGCTGCGGTGAATAGTGCCGCCCTTCAGCGTCCTTCTGAACATGAGGCTTCTGTGGGTTACTGGGTTCATCCAAATCTTCGGTCTCTTTCTGTGCCAATACTCTTGACACCCGATGGAGTCTCTTTCCCATTTTGATCGGTAATCCCTCGTGCAAAAGCTCAGCACCAGTGTCATCTTGTCTTCTCGCATACATGTCTTCAACATCTTCAGCAGGCTCGCCATCATGGGCAGAAGAGTTTTTGGAAGGCCATTTCCCTTTCTTCGTAGAGCCCAGTGAGCGCCGTTTACTCGGGTATGCTGCCTGTTCAGCCCTTCTCTTTTCCATATGTATTAGGTGCATCGCGATGAGCGCAGAGAACTGGATATGACAGTGCTGCAAGCGCACTCCCTCACTTGATCACCTGATACGGACCACTGGGCTTCGAAGTGAAAGATATGAGTGCTATCCTATTCCATGTTTTTTTTTTTTTTGTTGTTGTTGTTGTTGTTGTTGTTGTTGTTTTCTATGTTGGATTGATTACTAACTAGAACAAAGGCTGTTTTTTTTTTGTGATCAAAGTCTCAAGAGCAAACACTTTGCGATAACAATACAAGTGAGATCCACATCTCATCTTTCGCGCAAATAGTGCTTGGGATACAAAAATGTGTAGAATCTACTAAAGTTGAAAAAGAAAAACTAAGGGGTTAAAATACTAAATGCATTTTGATCATTGAGAAATTATGATTGTAGAACTTTACCCTCACTAAATTAAGATTAGTTTTGGTATTTAATATAGACAAACGCTGAATGGTTTACCTTCAATACAAAAAAGTTGATAAATGAGGATGCAATTACCAAAAAACTTTATGATAATACAGGAACAGATCGAAAGACAACAGAGTAAACATTAGTTTGTCACCTACTTCATTTCTTGATACCTCAAGAGCCTCTCTAGGAAAGTGAAGTCGACGGTTGAAAAAGAAATTACGCGTTGAAAAACATAATCAGTCGATTTTTGTCATCGAACGATGTGTGGTTCATAGTAATCAGAAAAATGTATCGCATTATTGGCACTCCTCGTTTAGCTCGTAGCATGCGCGGGAAGAATGCATGGAGGGAGATAAAAAATTGTAAGATAAAAAAAAAAAAAGCCTGTACGACCAATTCGTATAAAGTAAGTGCGGCCCCCCAACATACAACTACTAGTGTTTTTTTGCAATGCCCATGTCCTCCGCCAACAGCACTCAAGCTCTCCTGAGCGTTATTGAGCAGGGCTCCACTAGAGCCGTCCTAACAAAGTTGACCAACGTTTGGACCTCAACCTCTTGGTGGCAGGTCATAGTTACTGTTGCACTCGGTGCTATTGTTTATGACCAGGTTCTGTACTTGATTAAGAAAGGCACTATAGCTGGCCCTAGGTTCAAAGTTTGGCCGATTATTGGACCCTTCTTAGAGAGCTTGGACCCGAAATTCGAAGAGTACATGGACAAATGGAATTCAGGTCCCTTGTCTTGCGTATCCATTTTTCATAAGTTCGTTGTCATTGCGTCATCGAGAGATTTGGCAAGGAAAATCTTGAGCTCTCCCAAATATGTCAAACCATGTGTTGTGGATGTTGCTATCAAGATTTTGCGTCCCACAAACTGGGTTTTCTTAGATGGAAAGGCCCATGTGGATTACAGGAGATCTTTAAACGGCTTGTTTTCACAGAAGGCCCTAGAGATCTATATACCAGTTCTCGAGAAGTACATGGATATTTATCTCGAAAAATTCATTGGCTTCGATGGTCCAAGAAAGTTTTTCCCGGAGTTCAGAGAATTGCTTTGTGCTTTGTCGCTCCGCACTTTCTGCGGTGACTACATCACTGAGGAGCAAATTGCATTAATCGCCGATAACTATTTCAAGATCACTGCTGCTTTGGAGCTTGTCAACTTTCCTATCATCATTCCATACACGAAGACCTGGTACGGAAAAAAAATTGCCGATGACACTATGAAGATTTTTGAGAGCTGTGCCCAACTGGCAAAAAAGCATATCAATGAAAATAATGGAAAACCAGGATGTGTCATGGATGAGTGGATTTACCTCATGAAAGAGGCCAGGGATAATCACAAAGAAGACCCTGAATCAAAGCTTCTCATCAGAGACTTTTCCAACAAGGAAATTTCGGAGGTAATTTTCACCTTTCTTTTCGCATCTCAGGACGCTTCTTCTTCGTTAGCATGCTGGCTATTCCAAATTGTCGCTGACCGTCCTGATATCGCCAAAAAGATTAGGGAGGAGCAGTTGCTTGTGAGGGGAAATGATCCACTGAAGCCGCTCACTTTGGAGATGATTAATGAAATGAAGTACACAAACTGTGTTGTCAAAGAATCTTTACGTTACAGACCTCCCGTTCTCATGGTTCCATACGTTGTGAAACAGAGCTTTCCCGTAACGCTGGATTACACGGCACCTAAGGGCTCTATGATCGTGCCAACCTTGTATCCTGCTCTTCATGACCCCGAAGTTTATCCCGAGCCCGACTCCTTTATTCCTGAGAGATGGGAAAACCCAACCGGCGATATGGATAAGAGAAGTTGGTTGGTTTTTGGAACCGGGCCACATGTTTGCCTCGGTAAAGTGTACGTTTTGATGATGTTTACAGGAATGTTGGGCAAATTCCTCATGAACAGTGAGATTAAGCACACGGTGACTCCTTTGTCGGAGAAGATTAGGGTGTTTGCAACTATTTTCCCTCAAGATGACTTAATACTTGAATGGGATGCAAGGGATCCTTTATCTCCCAATTAGTCACGTTCTCAAATAAATTAAATCATTATATCATTGAGTAGATTTTGGATTAACCTTACTTCTAAACTTTGCCCAGCTGGTGACCCAATTTAGAGGCACTTATATGCGTTGGATACAATGTACATACTAAACTTCGAAGTATTCTTTTACTGGCTAAAAAGTTCATCATGAAAATTTGAGCGAATATTAAGCATCGTAAGTGGAAGCAGAGATATTTCCACCTCTACCAGTCCAGTTGACGTGGACCCACTGGTCCTTCTTCAAAAAGTCGTTCTCCTCACCGGGCAAAACCTGGAAGGTGTGTGCACCAAAGTAATCTCTTTGAGCTTGCAACAAGTTTGCTGGTAGCTTGGCTGATCTGTAACCATCGTAGAAGGATAAGGCGGTAGTAAACGCAGGAACTGGGACTCCGAATTCAACAGCTTTTGCAACAGTGGATCTCCAACCCTGTTGCGCCTTGACGACGGCATCCTTGAAGAATGGGTGAAACAATAAGTTCTCCAAATCTGGGTTCTCTCTGTAAGCTGAAGTGATCTCACCTAAGAAAACAGATCTAATGATGCAGCCACCTCTCCACATCAACGCAATAGCTGGGTTGTTCAACTTCCAGTTGTATTCCTTGGCAGCTTCTCTGATCAACATAAAGCCCTGGGCATACGAAATGATCTTGGAAGCGTACAAAGCTTGCTCCAAATCGTCAACAAATTTTTGCTTGTCAGTGATTGGAGAATCACCTTCAACACTTGGACCATCCAAAGTCTTCGAGGCTCTGATTCTCTCTTCCTTAAGTGCGGACAAGCATCTAGAGAACACAGCTTCTCCAATTAAGGTGACTGGCATGCCCAAATCCAAAGCATTGATTGCGGTCCATTTTCCAGTACCCTTCTGACCAGCCGTGTCTAAAATCTTTTCGACGACAGGCTTTCCGTCGGTTGGGTCATTGAAGTGCAAAATGTCCCTGGTGATCTCAATCAAGAAAGAGTCCAAAACACCCTTGTTCCACTTCTCGAAGACATCTCCAATCTCTTTATCAGAAAACTTTCCGACTCTCTTCATGAGATCATATGCCTCACAAATCAATTGCATGTCACCGTACTCGATACCATTGTGAACCATCTTAACATAGTGGCCAGCACCACCATCTCCAACCCAGTCACAGCATGGCTCGCCGTCAGACTTAGCAGCAATTGATTGAAAAATGTCCTTGATATGAGGCCAAGCATCAGGGTGACCACCAGGCATCAACGAGGGGCCGTGACGAGCACCCTCTTCGCCTCCGGAGACACCGGATCCAACGAAAAGAATTCCTTGTTGTTTCAATTCCTCGAAACGACGGTTGGAATCAGGGAAATGGGAGTTACCACCATCGATGATGATATCACCCTTCTCCAAATGTGGCAACAACTGCTCAATGAAAGCATCCACAGGTTTGCCAGCCTTAACCAAGAGAACAATTCTTCTGGGGCGCTTCAAGTTAGCGCAGAGTTCCTCAATGGAGTGAGCTCCAATGATGGATTTTCCCTTTGCTTCATTGTCCAAAAATTCATCCACTTTAGAAACGGTTCTGTTGTAAGCAACGACAGTAAAACCATGATCAGCGGCATTTAAGATCAAGTTTTGACCCATGACGGCCAAACCGATCAAACCAATATCACCACTGGCGGTGTTAGTAAGGTGTGAACTCAAAGTCAATATTCTCTCCAGGGACCCCATGATGTTTGAAATTCTAGCAAAGCGAACTGATTACTTAACCCCGTCCACAATTGTATCTTGCACGATCGTCGCGAGGTTCATGCCAAAGCCGAGAGTGCGGACTTGCGGATAGCCTAGGGGTAAGACATGATCAATTGCTATGTGGAAAAGGACATCCTTCAGAGAAAGTCATCTCGTAATTCAATGGATACATACGTTGGAGCAGACATTCTTAAGTAATTAATTGATCGAAAGATTTGTTTGATTGCAATAGACGAGTATCTATAGTTTGGAAAAAAACGGGATCGAGTTTGGGAGAGGCGGAAGTCGTGCATTTATATTACACACGCAGGATTTTTTTTTTTTTTTTTCGATTATGTCAGTAGTAGAGCCTGGACTCTAGCGCCTCATTCTTATTTCATCGGCACACCTCCTTTTCACTACGGACTTATCATCTCGTTGCTCATTTCGAATAAGGAAACTACAAATGCCTCCAATTGTAAATGCAAATTCAAGTATAACTTAGGTGGTTCCATTTCGCACGTGATTTACGGGTTGATGAGAACCGCTTGGATTAGCTAAGCAATTCAGACCCGTAAACATTGCCTGGCTTGAGAGCTTGCTGCGCGAGTTCATCTTCTATTCTTTCAACTGCGTCAGATCAATTATCAGTGCTCGGTCACATCCTATGAACACTTCTCGATTAACGACACCTGATGGGATTAAGTCGCTTCTTTCGTACCCCTCCCCCACCTGTTGTGGGGCATGCGGGGCACTTCTCGTAGGGACCCCCACGCTCGCTCTCAATCAATTATTCTTTTTTTTTTTTTTTTTTTTGCCCATTTTTCTTGTTCTTTTTTTACTAATTTTTACTTTGAAAAAGCCCCTTTTACGCCGCTCCCATAACTAATGACGTAAAAATAGCCTCGATCTCTGAAGGCGTATTTATGTACTATCATTGAACGTTTGCAGGCAACTAATGCACATAAAGGCACAGTAGTCGATTGCACTTAAATACAGCTTTAACATACCTACATTAATGACCATTGGCAGATGCAAAAGCCAAGAGATCCATCCACACGTTGTAAAAAGGTCGCTTTCAACGGTGCAATGTTGAGCATACCTAAGAATACTCTCATCTAAACAGGCCAAAAGATCACCGCAAATAAGCCAGCCCCAGGCAGAAATTGCAATCGAGAGAGACGTAGCGTAGCTGCTCTATAGGCCACGACGATGTTTTAAGGGCCCACTGTGACTATCTACTCTACACCATGTCACGTGAGATTGTATGATTGCAAAACTGTATCGCACCCATGCGTATAAAATGGAAGAGATTCGTTTCGACGATACACCTGCTATACAAAATGCCAATTCCTCAACCCCATGGAGGCTCTTTGCAAGATTTAGTGGTTCGAGATGAATCCATTAAAGATCTGCTTCTTAAAGCGGCTTTGAGTGGAAACCTCGCTGAGCTTTCTTTAAGTGACAGGCAGCTTTGTGACTTGGAATTGATTTTGAACGGAGGATTCTCCCCATTGAAAGGATTCCTCAATGAAGACGACTATAACTCTGTTGTATCAGACATGAGGTTGACGACTGTTAAGAATGAAGCAGGTCAAGGATTGTTATGGCCTATGCCCATCACCCTTGATGTTTCAGAGGCAGTATCGAAGACATTTTCATTGGGTGACAAGGTGGTTCTTAAAGACCCGCGTGATAAGCAAGCACTTGCTATCTTGACAATTGAGTCAATTTATAAGCCAGACAAGGAACGTGAGGCGAAGTCTGTGTTTAGAGGAGATCCAGAACACCCAGCGGTCGACTATCTCTACAATATCGCCGGTGATTATTATTTGGGTGGGTCAATCCAGGGCATAACCTATCCCAAACACTATGACTATACTGATTTCCGCAAACATCCCATTCAATTGAGAAAAGAATTTGAGACTCGTGGGTGGAGCGATCAAAAAATTGTTGCTTTTCAGACTAGAAACCCAATGCACAGGGCCCACAGAGAGCTCACAGTTAGAGCCGCCAAGGATTTAGGTGACAACTCTCATATCTTGATACATCCCGTGGTAGGCATGACCAAACCTGGCGACATCGACCATCATACACGTGTCAAAGTGTACCAGCAAATCTTAAAGAAATATCCTGCTGGGCTAGCTACTCTCTCTTTGTTACCGTTAGCAATGAGAATGGGTGGCGATCGCGAGGCCTTGTGGCATGCCCTTATCAGAATGAACTATGGAGTTGACCATTTCATTGTCGGAAGAGACCATGCAGGTCCCGGAAAAAACTCGAAAGGTGTTGATTTCTACGGACCTTATGATGCTCAAGAGCTCTTGGCTAGTTTGAGTTCGGAGCTCAATGGCAAAATCAAGATTGTCCCTTTCAGAATGGTAACTTATCTTCCAGACGAAGACAGATATGCCCCCATTGATACTATTGATACCTCCTCGGTAAAGACAGCTAATATTTCCGGCACCGAATTGAGACAACGTTTAAGAGATGGTACTGATATACCAGAGTGGTTCTCATACCCAGAGGTTGTGAAGATCTTGAGAGATTCCAATCCCCCACGCTCTCGCCAGGGCTTTGTGGTTGCAATCGATACATCTAAAGGGGGCGAGGAATCCGGTGAGATTTTGGCCGCTGCTTTGCAGCTGTCATTGAATCAGCACTGTGAAGGAAGGCGAGTTACGAGATTACCAAGGTCCTTCAGTGATGCATTCTTAGTTCAAGAGTTAGTCAAAGCAGGCTCCGCGGTGGTCTTGCAATCTGACAAAACTTTGGAACCGATCGTCTCAAACGTCGGACCGGCGAACAGCATCGTGATAACTGCTTCTGCTGGTGAGGTAGGTTTCGAATACAATGTTGCAGGCAACGAGCCCACAGATGCAAGTGGATTGTGTTCTAGAATTATTCAACAGTTAAAGTCTGATGGCTTCCTTAAATAAATTATTAGACAAAAGAGTCAATCAATGTGAATTAGAATCCATACTCGAATGTGTAAATAGCGCACGATATTCAGATCGAGCTATCAGATCGGCCGATTCCCAACTTTATTCAATCTTCAGCGCCCTAAAAAAATACTAACAGTCCTCGCCTGGTCAAAAACAACGAAATACTTATACGATTTATGTAAATGAAAATGAAGTGTTACCGAGTACAGATTTCAATTTGATGATGCCCTCTCATACATGCGGGAGAATAAGAGAAAACGCCTGTTTAGGTCCTCGTTCAAATACAATATGTAACATCAAAATTATTCGAGGAGCACATGAAAGAGTCTAATTCTTGACATCACTTTTCTGAAACTGCCTCACTTCAGAAAATACAGCAATTACATGACTCACAATCATCAGAGGCAGTACTTGATAACTCCTAATCGGCCCGTAGTCAGCCTCTAAAATACTTCACCAAATTACTCTACTAAGGAAGCGTCCAACCTACCTAGGGCACACACAGCAGAAAGAAAGGATTACAGTACCAAATATTTTGGAGACTCCGGATCAAACTCCTGATATCATCTGTTGGTATCTACCGCCTTTGACTTAAATCGCTTCCGTGAAACTTATAGGATCGTGGGCGCATGCCATCATAAGATTTCAGTTCCAAAGATCTGATGGCACTGTGGGTGCCACTGTAAAAGTTTCACGATATGTTTGTCGTACCCACAGAAGCCTAAACTAATAGCGCTGCACCAACAACTGACCTATTATGAACCCATTACATACCCGAAAAACAAAAGATGATCACTGTAAAAGAACAACATTCTTACATACATCCTTAATAATATCAAATTTTTTCGTTCTTTCGATACTACTGTTTAATCCGATCCACAACTTCACTGAACTTTTGATGGTGAAACTAAGGTATGACACATATAAGTATATCGACCAGACACATAAGATGCCAGATTGGTCAGCCCTCGACCACTTGTTAAGAAATAAAAATGATGCGTGTAGCCGCCTGATAATCTGTTCAACTTATGCACTAAGTTTTCATGTCAAGCCAGGAACTAACGTAATTTATGGTTAAATTCCTTGTAGCTATATTCTGACCAGTAATCCACTGATATAGAATTGATGGGAACAACGCAATTACTCTAAGAATAGCGCACTATTATCAACGCAATTGAGTCACGTTTTTTTAATACAATTCAACCTTCGTTGATTGTTTCAACCGATGATGTTGAAAATACTTTGATAGAGAATGAGACTGATAATCATCTTTATGTTTCATACAGCAAGGAAGTGATGGAGACGTCGTTCTACGTTCATTCTTCAAGTGCTATGACGTTTGGTAGTTAAATTGTTGAAAGAGCATTCGAATGCATTGAAAAGTCTTGTTGATCGACGAGCGAGGATGTATTTAGGTCATTATCGAAAGGAGGTGCATTGATTGATATATTACAATGATTAAGGTCTATCTCGTGCGAGATGCAAGACTTGCTCGTCATGATAGAGGGACGGTTAGGAATGGTGATTTGATACGACGTCGAATTGCAGTAAAGCACGATTGCAAAATCTGGGTATAATGAAAGAGGACATGGCCTGGGTTAACTTATTTAGATTTGAATCTTTTGTATACGTTTTTTACGAATGAGGGCTAGATGCTCCGTAGATGTTTTTTTAATATTGCTACACTTGAGTATATTTCGTGTAACTTTTTTTAGTTCTTTGCAATCTTTTATCACCATGGAAAGTGAGCAACAATGGAGAGTTGAAATTGAGTTGTATCTTCTACGATCAGATTTGAAGTTGGCATTCGCAGAATAAAAGTCATGATTAGGATGAATGTTGGATTGGGATAGTGCTTTGCTGACCTATAAGAATGGCAAGACATTGGTTAGTTGGCACGTAAATGTACTTGATGCTGCTTTTTGTGTTATGTTTGTGCAAGATATGATTTCTTGTCCTCGCGTCTCTTACTAATGAAAATTGAGTTGATTCAACTATACCGTAGTAACCTCCATGTTGGGGTATTTGTTGGTGTGTTTGGCGGATGCTGTTGAAAAAATAATCCTGCACAAATCTGCATATATGTTCGTTATACACTGTATCAATTTACGGAAACCTCATGTATCCAGATGCCATAGTTTTTGACTTAGACTATACATTGTGGCCATGTTGGTGTGATACGCATATTGCAATGCCATTAAAGCGAATTCTGAGAAATTGTGTCGTTGATGCTGTTGGGTTTCGTTTAAAGTTGTATGATGATGTTGAACGCATTTTCGAAAGGATCAAAGGCAAAGATATTCCAATCATAGCAGCAAGTCGCACCGATAGGCCAGATATTGCCAAAAAGTTATTATCTCTTTTTCAAGTTGGTGACCTGAAGATGATAGATCTATTCAGTTCATTGCAATGGGGCCAAGGTTCAAAAAAGCGACATCTAATGCGAGCAACAGAAGAGCTTAGCCTCCAGAGTTCCCTCAAAAGCGGACGTATCGTACTTTTTGACGATGAGATACGAAATAGGGATGTTGAAGTGGTTGGCTGTAAGTTCTGTTATGTTCCCGACAATGAGGTTGGATTGACCATGGCACTCTTTGAGGATGGTATTGAATCTTGGCGCGAGCAACATCAACCTTCCTAATACATACATTTCTTTCAGTATGCTGAGAAACAGGATGTGGCCATATCCTCGTCTATTCTGAACAAGCTCGAGTTAGCTGACGTGAGTGCTGCGTGAAAGGCAAGAGATTAAGGTGTCCATGGTGTGAAAGAAACTTCAAGGAGTCACGTGGTCAGTGAGTTTCTCCAATTGACATGAGAAAATGTTCTCCGATTTATGGTGTGGCCCTCTTTGGTCGTGATCGTTTTCTTCATGATGGGTCCGTTGTATCGCGATGATGCAACGGTATGATGAAACGATGTGGTTTTAGAAAAAGAAGATATAGAGACTAGAATATAAACTACAACGCTCAAATTATATGATGAATGAGAATTGAGATTCTCAATTCCTCAATAGTCGAATCTATAGCCGTCTAACCTCATACTATGAATCTATCCTCAGTCACGTGATTTGGTTGGCGAACATAGATCATCAAAGTAACCGTTGGATTACACCATATGGCCAACGTCAAGGATGCTGCTCCAGAGAGCGAAGGTATGTTTCGTTTTCAAAAATAGAACGCAAAATCTAACAAATGAAGAGCAGAAGATCAAACAAAAGTGCAACGAGTTGAAGCGAAGAATCCAGGAAGTTGAGGAATGTAATGAAATCTCATTACTTGCTCTATCGAGGACACGAGCATCGATAAGAAGGTATAGACTACAGTACTCTGTCCTTTTGGAGAGACTCCATGATCGGGCTCTTGCTCAAGGTCATCAGGAAGGTAATCGCCCATGGCTGCCAGTCTTATTTGAAGAGAACTCTCAGGTCGTGGACCACGCATCTGCGCCAATAACACATTTACATGGCGTTGCTAAAGATGAAAAAGTATTCAAAAGCCCATTTCAGGCATTTGACTCAGCAGAAACAAAAACTGTTAGTCATATAGCCGAGAGTTCAAAACAAGAGGCCCACAGTATCCTGCGGGACACTCTGTCGACCGAGGAGCAAGCGCATTTCACAGCTAAACCCACAGATACCCCAGAAATCAATCATGTCACTCATGCAGCTCCTGCAAGAGACACCGATGTGCCAATTTTGCAAAAGAATATTTCTGTTGCTCATGATGACCTGTAAATTATGAAACAAAACAACTCGGTTGAAACCTATATACGTAGTTTAGTATGCTTGGGTATTTTGCTCATGCTGCTCTCATTTAACTTTCTTTGTCTCATTGGTTAACCATCAGAATCTGCTATACTCCATTTTTTGCTTTGTAGGAGATAAGCAGAGCCAACGTTGCCGTCTATTAATGTCATCATCATTCACACAGTTCTGTTTATGAATGAAGAGTGCGTTCTACAGGTTGTATACCCCATATTTTGATTGAAACTTACTTACTTTTGATAATATTATTAAACCTTTCTCCTTTTTGGCTTGTAAAATCCATTCTCATCCTTATTATCTTTCCTCTTTTCTCTGAATCTGGCATGTTTCTTCATCTTCTTCTCTGATGCTTTAGTAGGATTATCCAACATGAGTTGTGCCCTCTCAGCCTTACGCTTCGCCCGGCGGGTAGAAATATCAGCTTTTGCTGCAGCGAAAACTTTACTGTACGATTTTGTACCAAGATTTTGTTCTGCAATCCTGAAGCACTCCCGGGAATATTCTTGAAACGTGGTATCCTCAGCGAACAAATTCTCATCGACTCCCAATAACGTTGTCACAACTTGTTGAACAAAAATTTGAAGTCTTTCTCCGGTCAACTTTCCAATAAGCGTTGTAGTTAACGATAAAATTATTTTTCTTGAGCTCAATCCAAAATCACTCGATACACATCTGCGAAGTAAGTGATTGGTTCGATCAGATATCATATCAGCAGCTAACTTATGCTCGAACTTTTTCCTGTCATTCCCGTCTGTCATGCGAGTATCCGAAATGTATAAAACGTCATTGTCTTCGAAATAATTGAATATTTTCAAAATGTTATGAACAGAAGCTTTCCCTAGCGAGTCAGGAAGACCAGGCGCTGCAAGTTGTCTTAAAGAACGATTCGAAATAAGCTGTAAAAACTCATTTTGCTTATCTGATATAGAATCTGTTGCCCACTCCACGTAAGTCGCAAGAAGTTTGGAACTAAGAAGCCTGATCCAGGAATGCGGGTAGAGCAAACATTGACAAACTAGGTCCCAGAATTTTGTCTTCTTTTCCCAGTAACTCCTTCCCGCGATGCCGATGATGTGACTCAGAACATTAAGTGCTGAGAAAATATCTTCCCAACGCCCCTCTGATGAGTTCAGCGTTTGTGCAAACAGCAAAAATAACTCGATCACTTCTGTTGCAGACGAGTTCAAAACTTCATTTCTCTCCGTGCCAAATTTGGAGATATAACATTTATAAGATAGGAGTCCACATCTGCGTAGAACATTCTTGTCCTGGTTGTGTAACCAGGTATCTATCAAGTGTTCGAAAACTTTCAACTTGCCAAGGCTAGCCTTCTCGAGTAATTGACCTAACAAAATGGTTGCCATCTCCCGACATTTCTCCTGTTCATCTGAAACCATGAGATTAGCTAAACCAACGAAAAAACTGGATGCATTTTTGTCAACTATCGAAGTGTTCGATTTGAGAAGGATTGAATGCATCAACTCCATCACTGACTGTCTCCCACTAGGTGTGGGATACTTCAAATTGTCCATCAAAAACTTGAAAGACGCCTCCATTCGCTTTTGGCCTTGATCGTACAAAAGCATGAACTTGAGATACAAACCCCTTGCAATGTCACGAATCTCTTGAAAGTGATTGACGACCATGATGCGCAAAATTTTATCCATGATGTCGTAGACTTCTGGAATCTGTATTCTTCTCGTTATCACTGCCTTCACAAAGTTAAACGCAGAGCTTTGCTTTTCGGGATCTTCAAGATCTGGTGTAATCTTGAGAAGAAGCGCACGGATTGCTTCTTTGGAACAGCATTCGCTTTTCCAATGTTTTATAATTGTGGCAATGTATTTGAGAGAAAGCTGGCTTAATTCCTCTCCGGTAGACTGGCTTTCAAGCACAATATCGATCGCTCTTTCACAGATTCCTTCAAACACATCGTCACGACTTGGAGGAAAATCTAACTTAACAAGAAGTACAACCACACGCAAGACAGTCGCAACCAATGGCTCGTTGGATGAGTTCAAACTTGTTGAAAGGAGCGGAATGAAGCCATCAATGTTTGTAACATTAAGAAGATGACGGTGTTTACCAATAACAGATTTCAAGATCTCAAAAGATAGTCTTTGCAAATATTGAGAACGCTGGAACTCATTTGCATTGTCCATCCTCAACTTAGAATTGGTATCTACCAAAAAATGTGATTCGTCGCGCTTTGGCGTCTTGCATTGCTTTGCACCCTTGACATCCAGTGATGATTTGTGGATTTTGTAGCATAACAACAATGCGTCAGTTGAATCTGCTCGCTCACTCGCGAGGATTCCTAGGCAAATTCGCCTGAAACACTCCTCAATTGCTCGTTCGGTCTTGCTTGGTAATGCTTGATCAAGAAGCACCTTCATAGGGTCAAGAAAACTATCGAATGCGTCAAAACTCAATTTGGAACATAAAAGCTCGATCGTATCAAAACTTTTCTTTGCTTTGACTTCTATCATTTTACTGTGATAGCCTTCAGCATCTTTCTCCTTTCCAGCCGCCCCAAATATATCCTCCATGACAATCTCCACGATAATTCGAGCACTTTCATCAATGTCCCCGTAATGGGCAGAGCTGGAAACCTCTCGCAATATGCAATTCAACGTGTAACTAAGCACATGTATTTGAGAACCACGAGAAAGTGCTCCACGAAGCTCGCGAAGGAGATATCGTAAGTATGATGCACCCAAGTGATTTGAAGCCTTGCAAAGCGCTTTTCTGGCGTGGTCCCTCAACTCTTGCGATTTTGATCTTAGCACCTGACAGGTACTGATGAGTATGCTTGGAAGTTCACTCAGTACAACTTGCGATGGTGTCATGAGGAGAGCAACCACACAAGCCTCGAGAAGCGGAAGCCTCGTGCATATCGTTGAGTCATTTCGAATCGAAAGAGTTTTTCTGATAGGTTGCACGACCAGATTAACAATAAAGTTGTTGAATACTTCATCGTCTTGAGGAAGCCCCTGCAAAAATTTGGACCCGATCTGCAAGTGTTCTTTGCGAATGACACTCATATTGTTGATGAGGTGAATGACCACTTTTATTGCGTCTCTCATCTGATCTGATTGAGCTGAAGCAATCGTGATATACTTCTTGAGATACCAAACATATACGGACCATGGCAAAACGCATGACAAGGCAGCAAATGACCCTTGCGCATCATCACATAAGTTCCGGGTCTTTTCTTCCTTGCAAAACAAATAGTTTTCGAGTAAAGGTAAAAGGTAATGTCTTGCGGTGAATTCTGTCAACGAGTCTCTTTTTGCAGCAAGTTCACGAATGGCTTTCTGCCGTGCTGTCACCTGAATGTGTCTCACGTTTAAAAAGAAATCTTCTGAATCATCATCCGATAATAAGCAGCCTAGGTTTTGTAATTGTGGTAACAAATCCTTATAACGAGCCAAGTCAGCGAGAACTTCAATGTAAGAGCTTCTTACATCATCAATCAGATTCAGCAACCCGTGACAGATCGCCGGATTGATCAATTCATCGAAGACTTCTCGGAATGCAGTCTTCTTAGCATCCGTTTCTGCTCTTGAATGAAATTCTGCAAACTTTTTGATTGCATGAGTAGCATTCGATCTTAGAATACTCTCATCCTCGTTGTCCATAAAAAATAGGCAGGAAGAGAGAGCCAACTTCCATCCCATCATGCCAGAATGCATGAAAAATGTCTCGTCTATGAGGTCAAATCCATCTAGTATTCTAGAAAAATCGTAGTCACCAGAATTTGACTGTGATGCATTAAGATGATCAAGGATCTCAACCGTTTTTCTGAAGTCTGGTCTTCGTACAGAGTACGCATCAAAAACTTTAGTGATACTTTTGCGAATTCTTAAATCTTTCGAGAATCGAAGCATCTTGGAGCTCATAATAGTAAGCTCATATTCAACCTTTTCATCACATTCCATCGACTCCATCATCAGCGCTATGGATATCAAAAGGCTGACTTTGTCCTCAGAACGTACGAAGAAAGATGATTTTTGCAAAGCCTTACAAGATGCGTGTAAGAACATCCTCTTGTCGAACTCTTGACTCAAAAATTGACCCTCAACCAAAAGTAATAGGAGCGTGGCACATCTGGACAATACATCTCTATTCTTGGAACTCTCTAGAATCCGAGGAAGGTTGCTGAGTAAGGAATCCACAAGCATAGCAAGAAATTCGATGTATTTCAAATCTTCTCTGTCTTCCTGCTTCGTCAAAGCAGATATAAAGAAATCCATTAAGCTTATGATGACTTCATCTTTGCAATGCTCGTTTGCCATGAGAGAAGTGATGGCTTTGAGAGGCATCCAGTCATCCAAACTGTAGAAGCTCATAAAAAATTCGTGATTCACTCGATTGAGAGTAAATTCCAACAATGACGAGACCAGCTGATTGTTTTCAGCTTGAAAATTTATCAATCGCGGCTGAAGAACATGTTCAAATAAAGCTGGCATCACCATCGACCAGTCATACTGGGACCCTACTAGCTTATCAAATGTATTAAGACATTTGAACGAAGTTTGTCGCAAAGATTTGAGGGGAGAAGAAGTTCCCTCAGCTTCTGAATCCGCAATTTTTTGGACACAAATGAGAACGTAAGCAAGTGGTTGTATAGTTTCCTTAAGAACCTCGTAATACTTGTATCCCAAGGCATCGTAAACTTCACTGAGCATATTCACAAAACCGGTCATTATTTTGATATTATCGAAACAGTCTTCCGATGAGCCAGCAGCCGCAAAATACGCCTGAAATGGTATCTTGCTGCTCATGTGTCTGACGAAATGTGTCATATATTGGGGTTTCAAATTTGGGAGAATTGATGCAATAGTGAACCTTGCTCCGAACTTTTTGGATTTTTTCGAAGATGTCTGCATTTTTCCAAAAAATATTTGAAGTATCAATGGGATGACAGTTTTTTCGTCTTCTTCCTTGACTTTTTCTTCAGATGTTTCTCCTAACAAGCTCAAAACTTCGTCTTTGAACAACTTATCATCAAGCAAATTGATGAGTTCATCACGATAAGGAAGAAGAGAGGTGTCAAGAGCCAAATAAGCTTTCAATGCTGCTTCTTGCAACTTTGAATGCTTTGAACCTATGGCCTCTCTAAGAATTGATGACAAGGTAATTCGCAGGCAACGAGAGATTCGACTCTTTATAGAGCTCACCAATTCGAGAGCTGTAACCTTCTCTTCCATAGACCAACAATTTTCAATATCGTCATCGACGACACAATGAATCAATTTGAGAGCTTTGTCCACATCCGCCAATGCAATTCTAGGAACTTCCTTAAGACATTTTAAAAGCCGGTTTCTCATTTGAGATGTGATCTGATCTGGTCCTTTTTCGAGAGCTCCTATTTTTCTGGTCTTCGCAACGAGCTCCTTTGTAGAGTGAAAAACACGATCATTCACCTTTTTGTAAAGACCTTTGAAAATGCCTTCATCACTTTCAAGAATCCAAAAGTCGGAACCTTGATTGGCCTCTTCTTCAACAAACTTTGGGTTTCGTTCAAAACTGGGTTTTGCTAAAAGCTGACCATAGAGGAGTCGACTGAGCAAATCATCTAAAGCAGGGTCCACCATCGATCTTGCAGTGTCAAAAACGGCTTCCCAGCAAGGTTGATACTGCTTGCACAAAAGCCCCATTATGAAATGGGCCATGCCTATTTGTATCAGACTCTTACCCAAATGCATTGAAAATACCTTGAAGAGCTCCAGAATCCTTAATCTCATTAAATTGGCATTTTCAACTACTAGAGCAATCTGATCAATTGACATCATTTGAGACCAAATATCTTCGTGCTCTGGACATATGATCTGGAGTGTCTGAATGCTTCCAAACCTTAATCGTCTATTTGTGCTTGATAGATTTCCCAAACACGCCGACTGTAAAGATGCAGCAACTGAAAGGCCCCCGAAAGTTTTGTAAAAGTTTTGCACCGCTGAAAGGAAAATTTCTGATTTAAAGCAGACGTTGATAAGACTAGGCAACATGTCTGCGAGGTCTTTCGCCAAAGGAATGGTGTGGTCGCCTTCTGGACAGTTCACAAATAAAGATATAAGCTGACCGTATAACTCAGAGGTATCTGACGTATTCCAGCGTTGATTAATTGATTTGATTAATTTCAAAGCAATTGTTTGATCGTCAGCAGACTTCAGACTTTGAAGATTTAAAATGTTACATCTCCATTTGAGATCCTCAAGCTCAGATCCCTCGTCTTTGACCGCAGCCGCTATCAGATCGAGGATATTATCTTTCAAAGTGATAGGCAAAGTAAATCTCAAAAGATCATGCGATTCATCGACCTCGTTCCTTTCTATGATGAGTGATAATTGTTGAAGACCCGATTCCAGGTCAAGACCGTTGATGACTTGTTGAAAGCGTCTGTCAATCTCAAGTGATAGAGGTGGCACATATTTCAAGTCTTTGACAATATCTAAAATGCTCAATTGCAAGACGCTAAATGTTGATGGTAAAGTATCCCAAAGCTGCAGTAGCATCATCGCAGCTGTGTTCGCTTCCAGATTTCTCACAAGCAAAGCCCAAAGTAAGACAAGCATGGTCGAGCAAGTAGCGAATTGCGCCTCCGGCTCGTCATTTTCTGCATATTTTAGGCCAATGGCTTTCACAAATTGAGCAAAATCTTGATCTAACGACACTTTGCGTCCGTTATCCGTGAAAACAATGGCCAGGTATAAAACCAATAATGAGTGTAGCTGACGCAGTCCGCTCATCTCGGGAAGGTATGAGTTGAGCTCAATCAAAATTTTTCGACTCATGCTGCAAGCTTGATCATTTTTAGCATGATGAAGTGTAGACATTAAAACTCGCGCAGTAAGGTGTAGAAAGCCAATATCATTCTCCTTACACGAGCGCATAGCTTTGTCTAGTAAGGGCTTCAAAATCATCAACGTCTTTGAATGTAGACTAGCATTTGCAACTTTGATTGCCTCTGTGAATATGACAGCTATATTCTCTAGAAACTCTAAGCTTAGGTCAGTTTCTGAGATCAAAGTGAAACAACGATCGACAAAGTCTAGGTAGGCCTCCTTCGACAGTTTTTTTATCAAGTGTGACATTGCCTCTGCACAAAAGCGACCTATGTATGCTTTCTTTTGTTCTTTCAAAAGAGGTATGAGATCCTCGAATGAGTTCCACAAGTCTTCACTGATATCAGGAGAGAGATATCTAAACGCAAATGCTAACGAGTTGAAGCACCATTCGAGAACATTGGCGGAGTTTTTCATACTTTGAGAATCGTTTGGAGACACTGAAAGACATAAACCCATCAATAAATGAATGAATCTCTTGTAAAATGTTAAAAATTCAGGACCTAAGTCATGAATGAATTGAGTCAAAATTTCCAATAAAGGTTGAAGTGAGTGGATATCATGCTGAGAAATATGCGATTCTAATATATCATAAAGCTGGTTCTTGTGATGTAACACTTGGGCTAAGGATCGACTAAATGGCTCGATGCTTTCAACACAAGAAGTGAAGTTACCGCTTATGTTGACCTCCTTCCAGTGGGCAAGGGTCTCCAAGTAAAATGAAGTGGTAGTATCTTCATAGTTTCTCACTCCAAGCTTGGAATACGGACGAATCTTGAGGGCGTTGACACGCTCCTTGAACGATTTGAAGTTATGATGCTTTGCCATGAGGATCAGTTTTAGTCACTGGCATTAACTTTAAAGAGAAGCTCATCGCGTTTATACGTCACGTGCAAAGCACGTGTGATTTACACCTTCCATTTCGGATACATTGCAGTTTAGATAATGGAAGCCATTGATAGAGAAAAAAAAATACAATCAATAAAAAATACAAGAAAATCAGAATAGTCTGTACTTTATTCAAGTAACTTGTTTAGCTGTGTAAAGAGGTCTCGAGCAAGAATTTATAACTTTGTGCCAAAAACACCATGCGAAAGCATTTCGCTTGATTACAGTTAAAACTATAAATGATCGCATGAGCAAATTACGTTCACCATGTTAAAAAACTGGAGAATCAGAACCTTGGAATTCTTTTAGAACGAAAAAAAAAAAAAAAAAAAAAAGAAAAAAAATAACATTCTGAGAAATGAATGTCGACACAAAGCACTTCCGATAAGCCGCTAAATCCATTGCACTAACAATCTGAATAATGTACTGGTTCTCGACCGACTTACGATCAAGTCATGAATGGTTGACTGAAAAGAAAACTAAAAAGCGATTGGACAACCACAGAATCTTGGAGGGGGCCTTTGTTTTAAATGGTTTCGTCATTCTGTCCAAGATGCGATAGATTACTAAGGAGCGGGAAGGGCTATTTGCTACCAAAAAGAAGAGGTCAAAAAGAAGAAGATGTAGCCCAGTTCATAAACCAGACACATGAAAGACAACTCAATGCTTCGAAAAGAACTGGGCTAAAGCTGAATCGTTTCTAGCAGTGCTAGCTTGCAAATATGCCTTACGCAACTCAACACAGAAACCAGGTTATTAAGTGTTGTGACTTGCTTGTGCAGCTTCAAATCAATCCAAAAAACGATTCGGGGACAGAACGGTAGTGAAAGACGGTTTAAAACCATCGAAGGTCAACATACAGTACACAGCGCAATGCCAGGTGCACAGAGCAGGGGTAAGATCAACCTAGCTATAAACATGCAAAATCATTCAGAGCAGACCCCCCTCATTCGAAGCCCTTCTGAGAGTCAAAGAGAAAATAGGAAGGTCAACATAAGTCAAGGAGGACTCACTCAGAAAACTTCATCAAAAATTGGCAATAACTCAAAACTCGGCCTTCAGAGACTCAGCAGGACAAGTCAGAAGCTTAAGTTATTACCGGAAGACCCGCCGACTCTTGAAAGTGAGCTACTCTCTTTTGACGAGAATCAAGACCTGAAGAGTGATGTTTCACAAGGAGGGGGTGTATATTCGCAAGTAACCAGAATTACCGATAAGCCAGCTAGGAAGGATGCCGAAATTCTTGGAAAGCTGCATCGTGATTTATTACCAAGAGTAACAGCTTACTGTACTTCTGGGTCATACAAAATGAAGGATTTACTTCGATGGCTCAAGGACAGAAAGAGAATTCATAACACCATGCCGAAACTCTTTGACGAATGCTTATACACTCCATTTACATACAAAGACTGGAGAAATGATTCAGAAGATGGAGGGAAAAAAATGATCCGCTTAGCTGATGATGGTGGCGAAATCGAATTTGGTAAAAGAAATGATATCTTTATCTTCGAATATGGCGTCGTGATAATGTGGTGCTACACGCGAAAAGAAGAACTCGCTTTTTTGGAAGATTTGGCTCGCTTTGAAAGTGAAAAGCTCTCCTCTGAGGACGTTCAAGTAGAAGAGTTTAATTACTACATCACTACGTCCTACCAACCACGGATCTACAATGATTTCATAACTCTCCGTGATGATGCCAACTACATGCTCAAATTATCTATATCTCATGCTTTGGCACAATCAGTCAAAATTTCGTTATTCGAGGAACTCGTCGACAACACCATAGAGGATACCCAAGATATTCCACAACAAATTGCGCACACTGGCAAGGTCGAGATGACCAGAGATGAAATTATGAAATCTATTGGGGAGCTCTTCATATTACGCATTAATATAAACTTGCACGGCTCAGTTCTCGACTCTCCAGAACTCATGTGGGCAGAGCCGCATCTAGAGCCAATTTACCAGGCGACGAGAGGATATCTCGAAATCAATCAAAGGGTAGAGTTGCTTGAACAAAGATTGGAGGTTATATCAGATCTACTACAGATGTTGAAAGAGCAACTAGGGCATTCGCAAGAAGAAAATCTTGAGTTTATTGTAATTGTCCTAGTATGCATCGAGGTTCTTGTCAGCGTTGTGAATGTGGTCGTTGATCTCTTGACCTATTGAGAGGCTGGTCTTGCACGACGGCCTTTGTGGCTAATTGATCTAGAACAACCATTATGGAATACCGTCGAACCAGTCAGAAATCGCGACTTGTGAGACAAGTCGCTCTGCATCAAATTTCTCACAACTAAGAGCTCGCGCGGCAGCAAGTATAATTAAATACCGGAATGACGTATACAGAGCGGCCCGCCACAAGATGTGGCGAAGCAACAGGAAAAATTTTAACTAGCCGCAAGCAATTATAAGGGGCTAGTTACCTCACACTTGCCACACCTTTTATATAAGGCGCATGCCTAGTTCGAGCAAACTGAGACATATTGCATTTTTGCTTTTGATATTCTTGCTGATATTTTTGAGACATATATAACTCCACTTCCTGCTCTTGAACTCAAGTAGTTCTGGCCTTATTCAAAGATTTTCCATTCGACTCAGCATCCTATTGAAAGAACCCCTTAGAAAGATGGATAATTTACCAAAGCTCACATGTCCCAATTTGATAAGGACGAGCACTCTTCCCTCTGAGTTTATCCGTCAGCATCTCGATATAGTTAATACTCCAATACTGCTTGACGTTGGTTCAGAGGTTACTCAAATGCAGCTGAACTGGTGCAAGGAAGAAGAGCAAGAGGAAAGACGACTTGTACGTCTCTTGGTGCATCGGGAGTCATACGCAACTTTCAAGATTCTGGCAGAGCCGGTATCGCCATTCTCATACTCATCAAGTGACGATTCCTTAGTTATATCATGCATCAAATGGAAAGAAAAAGATATGTGCGTTGTTACATCTGTGGATGTCATCTTAGTGCTCGAGTTTCTTGTTGGAGAACACTTTTCTATCGAAGAAAAAAGTCGTGTTCGTCGAAATTTACAGTTTCTCAAGCCGTATACTGTCACAAAATCATCAAATGAAAGCCGCAGATTATTCTCAAGTTTGATGTCAATGGAAAACCCCCGTCCAAGAAATATCGAGAAGGGACTCAAAGTCTTCGAATGGTCAGACTTATTTGTCGCTGTCAATAGAGTGCTTTCAAAGTATTCGGCGAATCCGGAGAATACAAATGCCCAGAACTTGACTGCGACGAACGTGACGCTTAACGATGGGGATGCTCCAAAAACCGAGTTCTCCACACTGAGTAATGGACACGGGAAGTGGTATCCCCGACCGGACCAAAATGCGAGTTGCCGCAACGCCCCCCTACATTCACAGCCACCAGTCACTCCCTTATCGTCTTATACATCCACGATCTTATCCGACATCGCCAGACAAGCTAGGTTTCTCGAGGAACGCGGAATCCCTGATAGATGGCAAACACTCAATTCACGAGGCTGCTGTGTTGAGTCACAATGGAACAGCTTCAGACCATCCACAGTCTATTGTTAGTAGCTCAAAGCTACCTAAGTTAGACAATGAGTTGAATGCATTCAACAACTCCGAGACGTCTGGCTCTTCGACAGACTTGTCTCTCAAATCCAAGTCCCAGACCGCTTCAACATCCGTGGGAGCCTCGCTTGACGAAAAAAGCTCGTCCGGAATATCAAGTTCAACTGATAGTGGAAGCGGCAAGAACACTGACGACGGCTCTGGATCTGATGACTCAAGTGGTTTGGGCAAAGGGAGTTTTAAGCATAAGCCCAGCGCTATTCCAGAGCAAGACATGAAAGACTCGGAAGACAGTAAATCGCCGACACCTGTGGAAACATCACACCCTCCTCATCTCAAGTACCTTCCGGTACAGAAATTGAGTACTGCTAATATGAAGAAGCATGATCTTGAGTTGGCTCAAATGAGTCCGCTGGAGCGTGAAGGGTCAAAGTTTACAAATATAGGAGCCGCTGCTGCGGCCGCAGAGCTGTCATCCAACACAGAGTCTAGCGAGTCAAAAAGAAGGAAAAGGAGTCGCAACAAACGGAAGAGATTGAAGCTTCCCGAGATATCGTCAGGTTTGGATAGGAAATTTCCACTTCCGAATCCGAGGCAGATCGAGTTATACACGAGGGGGGGAGGATTCTGTGCATTTAGATCCTCGCCCCTACAATGGCAAGGATAGCTCTACACCGATTAGCACGGAGGGCAGCAGCACGGAGAGCTCCAGCCGTTAAACATTTACCAGAGAAAGAAAAATAGAGAGCTATGTAATGAGTAATATTTATGTGTCATGTATTCAGTCTACAAGTTTGTAAAAGACAGTCTACTTTCGATTGTAGGCTTGGATTCAGGCCTGCAAGTGACAACATTCAAGTAGTCTTTCAGTTCTAGAGTTTCCTGGGGTGTATGATCAGATGTGTGAGAAGCATCAACAATCAGGGTTTCTTTCTTGAGATTACGGTAGAATCCCGACGCCTCAGACTGCAACAAGATAGTTCTTGGTCCCCAGATATTGACAAAATTTGAGTTCCCAAAAGTAAGATTCTTGCTTCTCATTCGAACCACTTGCCAGATTGATGAAATGACTTCCGAAATGGACCTTAGATTTGTTGTCAAGTCCTTGAAGCTACGAATTGGCAGCATACTTGGCCTCCGTACTTTTTGCACTGTAATGGAGGGTTGAGACTCCTCTCTTCCCACAACGCAATTTTCCAAATCATGAGGTCCATTGACTGATATCGACAAAAGGTTGTGTTTGTTTACGAGAATTTCTTCGTTTTCCTTCACTTTAATGGCGAAAACTTGTCCGTGACCAGCCAAGGCAGCGACACCTCTCCCGCCAATGAATGTGAAACCACGATTCCCAAGAGTCGACAATCCAGTGCGAGGTCTCTTGGAAAGCCCCAGCGCTCTAGCAAAAGCTCTGGATATGTTTTTGGGGGTCTTGTGCTTATCGACGACTAAAGAGGGTCCTCCATAGACTTGTAGAGAATCTTTTTGTAAAATTGCCCAGTCTGTTACACCATTTAATTCCAATGAAGCAAATGACCTTTGACTAGACTTTCCGACATACCTTTGAAAAATGCCGCTCGTTTGCGCAGAAACGATAAGTGATGTAGGCTCCGTTGACGTTAACTCTTCATATAGTTGTATTCTTCCATCAAATAAAAAGGATTTAAAAGGGAGCAATGCTTTAATTTTGGATTTTAGCCGAGGGAAGCTCCCTTGGACGATCACCAACGAATTTTTTCGAATGTTGATTGGTATTGATGGTGGAATTGTAACGGTTGCCATTGAAGGGGGGTTTCCAAAGATATTAACCAGTATATCGTCGCTCGTTTTGATACTGGGTAATCTCTCAACATAAGGCTCGACTCTTCCAGATGATGCTTCTCCAGCAATACGCGTAGAGCCAGTCAAAGGGGATAACGAATGAATTCCAAGTGCCCGACATGTTATTAACAATTGGGCGACCAGCTTGCGCAACATGTTGTTGAATTCTGTTGTTCGCGGACTTCTCTGCCAATAACTTTAAGTTCGCGCTTTACACTGATTGTCTGAAGCTACCATTTTCATTAAACATTAGGTGATCTAATTTAGGCCTCTTTGCTTTTTAAATTTGAGACGCTTTTCTGAATAAATTGGAAAAATCGATCACCGTATTCTTTTGCGGGAACAGCAGAGATCGTACTTCGGTTTTGACCAACAGATCTAAATAGAGTTTCGAGCTTCTTCCTTATCGAGTAATGAGTTAAGCAGTCGATGATGCCTAAGTAATAGATGACTCTCGTGGGCTCGTTCTCCTCATTTGTTCCTCGTATCCCGCCATCGTGTCCGTAGAAAATATATTTGGACCGTCCAGGGAAGTTTCGGGCAGGTAGGTCAGCTTCGCGATCAATGTCTCTAGGATTAGTCTTGATCAAATCATTCTTGCTGTTAGATTTGGGGTCGAAAACCGAAAGGTTGGTGATAGTATTGGAATTTCCCTTTTGTACATCGTGGATTCCAAGAAGCAAAGAATAATCCATGGCATTGATATTCTTCAAGAACTGGACATCTGCACGAAGCTGCTCTAAAAATATTCGGCGTTTCTTTGGGCCAAACATGATTTTCTCCTTTTGCTCAAGCCAATTAAGATCCTTCAAAGTTGTGTGCGAGGAATCGAGTAGGCCCTCTTTGTCAGGTGGAATCTTGGTATATCTACCCCAGGTAGAGCCCTTCAAATCGTACTTTGTATGTATGTCTCTATGAGGGGGAAATAGATTGTTCATGACGATGAAATGAACTTTTTTAATACTACCTCTGACCTTGAGACGATGTAGCCCATAGAATTGCGATATGAGCGTATTTGGGTTGCTTTTCACATGATGATAATAGTCCTTCAAAATCCTGCGCAACTGCTTGTGTTCCGAATGATGTATGGTTTTGATGATAAATCTGAAGTCTCTCGAATAATAGAAAAAAGAACCACTTTTTCCAGGCGATCCAAGCTCAGAAAGAATGTACTTTCCTGTGATTGATATAAGGTAGTCAGCTGGATCTACGCCAAAAAGAGATCTCAAATCACGAAATACTTCCGGGCAATAATCCTTGAACTTGAAGTCATATTTTGAAGATGGTGTCAATTCATTACCATCCATGTTGAAGGTCAATTTCTTTGTACTTCTGAAATCTTCATCATGGATCTTTTTCATCATCCCCGAGCATCGCGATACAGCGACACGGATACCAGTTAACATATTATATGCCATCACGAAATTTTCATGCCCCTCACTGATTCTGTTGCCCAAAAACACATTTTCATCTTCTGTATGATCTAATTGTTGCCTCTTTTTTATATTGCGTTTAACAATAATAGAATTCCTCATCCTGGTTATCTCGTCATCGAAAAAGTCTTTATTGGCAGTTCGAAGTCTTGGAATGTCGGCTGTGGAATTTGCTCTTGCAGACACACGAATATAGCTCTGATCCAGCGTATCCTGGTGATCGGTGTTTGGCAGTATTTTGGCCTTGGAGGGGCATCCACCTTGTCGTTCCGCAATAGATCCAGCATCCCTATGAGTTTGCGGTGAAGTATGCCTTCTGAGTGGACTGATTCGAGAGTTTTGTAGTCCTGATCTATTCTGATCCCGTTGCTCGGAATTGAATATGGGCGATGAACCGTTCAAATCATCCAGAGGGCCAATTGCACGAATAATTACAGCCTTCGGATCCACACTTTCATCCTCGATAGGTTTTGATGTTCTTTTCTCTGTTTGCTGCACCACTCCAGTATCTAGAGTAGTATTATGGTCATTGAGGGATTTGTTAGTTAGGGTGTGGAAAGAATCTGTCTGGGGGAGAGCCTCATCAGCTATGGAGCTTGGAACCGTATCTCCAGTACCAGTCTCCGAAACATCTGATGGAGCACCACGAAGGGACCTTGAGGTCGGAGTCAAGGGATTATCGTTCTTTCGGCTCGGTGACTCAGGCACTCTCGAAAGAACTTTTCGGGTTTGATCGTCATTGGCGGGTAACGTTTCTAGCAGAATCATAACACCCGGCCATAAAAGATGTTATCTTGTCAAAATGGGCAACTCGGATTGATGACACGCGCCAGAACTTGCTTGAGGACCTTTTGCGATGATTTCGTATGTATGCGCGTGATAATAATTTCCTTGCTGACGTGGAACTGAGACGGTTCTTTTTAACCGAGACAATCGAACTCAATTTTTTTTTTTTTTTTGTTAAATCGTCCTGCTCGGTTCATCTGTGATACGCTTGGGCTTATTTCCCATAAAGTCTGGTTTTTGCCGGCTTTTGGGATAAAAAGCGTGTTGATATCGCCTGTACACCATAGCCTTCCAGCTTCTTCAGAAGGGTCAGTGGATGAGAAGGAGACGATGGAAACCCTTTTTTTAAAAAAATCTAGGTTTTGCTTTCCGTTTCAGTTCACTTGGCAAAAGAATATAAAAATTAAAAAAAAAGAAAAAAAAAAAAAAAAAAAAACCTAACATAAGAGGAAATTCTAGAGGATAAGAAAATTCTAGCAGACAAAATGATCACTCAAAATTTCTGAAGAGTAAGTCTCTCCTCGTAAAGCGACCATTTCTGAGATATTTAAAGCAAGTTCTGTGCCATCATCTACGGGTAGTGACCAATTCTTAAAAGGAATGCCTTATGAAAAATTCATTTCTTATGTCTGGCTATGCCTTTCATTCTGCTCTCTTGCATCCACAATTCCCCTTTCGCCGCATGCTGGCGATGGCTATAAGAGAGATTCTTTTGATCAGTGTCAGATTATCCATGCGGAACTGCTTGAAAGTCTAAAAAACAATCGAACTGCTTTGCTTGCCATCAATGACACCACTGTAATTCACCTTCATTCCAACAACTCCTTCTTAGTGAAAGCAAATACCAACTCATTAGATAGTCATGAAGTCATCCGTACCAATTTGAAGACTGCTTCACACGATTCTGAAGTAAATGATTTTTTGGAGTTCAAGGTATTTGCAACTATTGTTGATCATCTATCAGACGTGACGCCCATTTCAAATTGCCACGAGGAGCTTGCTGGCGAAGGAGGATCAGTGGCTATGCTGCTTGCATTTCAACAGTCGCTTTCTTCGACTTTATCAGTCGGGATTTCACCAACCCTCATTTTACCAGCTTTGGAATTGACGGCCAAAGTAACCTTGGGTGGATCGAATAATCTAGCAAACACAGTGACCTGCAATGTAGAGCATGGTGAAATACTACAGGTGTTTTTGAGGGGTATCAGAACAGTCAGTTACCACTTGGCTGTTCGGAAAATGAGCTTTGACAACATATCCGGTGAATATGTCAGTCAACCTGCCTTTCGAAACACAACCGCGTTTGAATTCAAAAGTGGAATTAGTCTGAGCGAGTATCTATGCGCTACTAATACCATGACGAATTTGGAATGTTCTTATAAAGGCCTGAATGATTTTATATAAGCCATTCTTCGTACTTGTAGGTCGTAGTTTGCAGTTCTACTAAAGTCCACCGGGACGTTGTGTGTGTGTGCGGCTCTCGAGTCCGTGTGCCGCACGAGAGCGAGGCCACAGGAACTAACATCGACACAACAGAACTTTTCCCGTAAAATATGGGATTATTCGACTTCTATAAAAGATCACCGGACCATAAACAAGAAATTCAAGATCTTGGATTTGAGGTTTCTAGTTGTGACCAAGAATGCGATTCTTGCACCACCAAATATCCCTCATCCATCAATTTGTCGGAGGCTTCAAGTGATGACTTATGGGGTACAACTAAGCCATATGGTCTCCATATAGTCATACCAACAAATAAATCTGATTGGCCTCATGACGCTATCCAAGGCTCGGGTCGCTTTGCGATAAGTGTCGAAGAATGGGCCGCACAGTCTTCCGTAGATTTGGGCGCCCTGAGCAAAGTGAAGGTGACTGTGAGCTCACTTTCATCACTCAAGCTCGAATCGGATATGGAGTATATGGATGGTGAAAGGGGCGACTTACTCCTCTTACCTTTCTTCGTCTGGATTAAAAACGTAAAGGCCGAGGATACGACGCAAGTTTTAAATGAGGTAGTGCCTCGACTCGTTGAGTACCGAAGTCTTCATACAGAAGAGATTCCTTCGTCATTACAGACTTCAATCCCTAACGTCGAAGTGGTACCTGATGCAAATTCAGCTTATATATTCCTTTGCTCTCACAAAACCCGAGACAAAAAATGTGGCGTGACAGCTCCTATAATGAAGAAAGAGATGGATCTTCATCTAAGAGAGATTGGTCTCTACAGAGATTTTGGCGACGAGAGAAGGGGCGGGGTTCCCGTGTCATATGTGAATCATATTGGGGGCCACAAGTACGCTGCTAATGTCATAATCTACATCAAGAGATCAGGGAAAAACATCTGGCTAGCGAGATGTAAGCCCAGCAACGTCGTACCAATAATAGATGAGTGTGTCGTGAATGATGGCAGAGTTTGGCCCGACAAGGTGAGACAGATACAGAAGTTTCAGCCTATTGACTGGTGATAAGATATTGTTTTAGAATTTATAGAATTTTTATAATCTTCTTCCTACTATACTTGCCTTCAAAATGTTGGCTCTCTTCATGGCGTAGAGACCGTCACTTTTTGTCATCATATCCAAGCTACCAAGCATCAGTTGCAAGCGATCTGACTCAGTTTTCAACCATGATTCATCATTTGCAAGGATCTTCGCCACGATTTTTTGGTAATATGGAAGCATCGATAAATCAGCACCATACTCCACATTGTATCTATCAAACAAAACCTTAGCCTCGGCACTTTGGTAGTCAAGCATCAGGACAATATCTCTGAGAAGATTTTCGCCATCGTCGGTATTCTCAAATCTGATTCGCTTGTCTACGAACAAAAGCCTTCCAGCATTTCTATCAGAAAGAACATCTCCATTTTCTGATTTGCTTAAGATTTGTTCGACGAGGCCAAAAATGTTATCTTTCTTCACTTGCTGCACATATGGTGAATTTTCAAGAGCATCAGACTCGACTTCAATGATCACTGGTAAATCTGAGACATCAAAACTCAGACTAAGTACACCTGGATCGGTAATATGAAGTTCAACAAACTTTACACTATCAGCATTATTTCCGAAGACTTGGGCAAGTTCGTTCCATGAACTCAGGAGGGAGTCAGACAGAATCTGCTTGTGCTGTACTAAGACGAGCTTTTTGTTTGATGCAATGTTTTCTAGCAAATCAAGATCTCCCTCGCTCAAATACATCACAGATCTTTGGGAGTTTTCATCGCCTTTCATATACTGTTTGTCTGCAGCCCTGGAAGCGAGTTTAATGAAGTTACTCAATGACTCCTGGTCTCGCAGACCGTTGTAAGTAATGGGATGAGACAGTGAGTCAGTAAAAAGCAATAGTGTGGGGTACCCTGCAACTTTATACTTTTTCCGCATACGTTTCCCATCGCCGTCACCGTCAATTTTGACAATTTGGATATTGGTACTTTCCGAAAATTCATTGCCCAATTCCTCCATTACTGGCATCAAATTTTTACAATGCCTACACCAAGTGGCATAAAAGTCAACCAAAGTTGTCACACCAGATGATAATACGATTTCATTGAATGTTGTATCGGACACCTGTAACACATTGGAAGCAGCTCCGACGGCAAGGAGGAGGAAAGGTATAAACTGCATTGGCATCCAAAAATGGATTCTGGGCCATTCAAATGAAGTATATGCAGGGACTAATATGTATTTTTGACGTATTCTCCACCGGCCGTAAGTGGATGTCTCGAGTCAACGAAACCAAGCAAATAGTCGAATCAGACTATTTTTTTTTATCAATTGCCTCCTTCTTCTCGTAATCGGAGGTAGTAATTGGGTGACGATTATACAATATACAGGAAAGGTAAGATATTAACATAATCCAATGGAATTATACTCAGACTCCATCAACTCAATTTTAATCTTATGATCGCACCTAGAGTGATTGCAAGTAGATGGTGTTCCACCCTCCACCAGCCTAGGCGGTTCAGATTAACGTTTTTCACTAAAGACGGATGCCAACTTTGCAAAAATGCTGCTACGATTTTGCATGATGCTATAGAAACGAATGCGACAAATAATGTTAGCTTGAAAGTGATCAACATTCTCGATCCAGAAAATTCAGAGGCTTTTGATTTATACTGCTACGACGTGCCTGTGCTTCACATTGAGAAGGACGATGGAGCCAAAATGAAGAAATTTATGCATTATTTTAACAAAGACAAGATCATGGAGGAAATAGGATCAAATACCAGGTGAACTTGTCACGGCACATTTATGTTCAAACTCAGGGGTTTAAAGCTAACGTGATGTTGAGCTAGGGATTGACATATTGAGGTTTTGATTTTTTGTATGATGAAGGCACTGTGTGTCAATGATAGCGCGGGAACTCATATGATGGACGGGCCGGTGCGAAGGAGAGCCGGAGATAACGATCACAAGGATGCGCGGGGGAAATTATACACTGGTATATTTAAGCAACACAATTCTTGAAAAAGAACGACATGACTGACCAAATAACGCGCCAAAAGACTGCGCTTGTAACAGGCGCTCTGTCTGGCATTGGATTCTCCACTGCTCTTGAATTTCAAAGACGGGGCTATCGCACATTTGCTTGCGCCCGGAGACTCGAACCCATGGTGGAGCTTGAGCGCCAGGGTGTCACAACTTTCAAGATGGACGTGTCTGATATAGATAGCGTCGTAAAGGGAAAGCAGTTCATAATGAGAGAGACCGATGGTTATTTGGATGTATTATTCAATAATGCTGGCCAATCTTGTACATTTCCCGCCATAGACGTAACCGACGAGCAGTTTAAACAATGCTTCGAAGTTAATGTGTTTGGCCCGATTCGCTTGACAAGGGAGTTGGCACCGCTTTTGATCAATGCGAAAGGAACTGTTGGCTTCACGGGCTCCGTCAGTGGCTTGATACCTTTTCCATTTTCTTCCATTTACTCGTCCACTAAAAGTGCCATTCATCAATTTGCTGCCGTTTTGAGACTCGAATTGAAACCTTTTGATGTGAAAGTTATAAATATTGTTACTGGAGGGGTAAAAACGGCGATTCAGGATACCAGGCCTCTACCGGAATCATCCATCTACAACGTGCCCGGTATCGATGAGTCGTTGGAAGAAAGAAGAGCCATGGCTGTGAAGAACAAGCCAATGGAACCTGAAGTTTACGCAAAAAAGGTTGTCAACGACTTTGAGAATGCGACATGCGATGGAAGACTCAATGTTTACAGAGGGCACATGGCAACGTTCTTGGGTTATTTATTGTGTTGGTGCCCCAGATTCATTGTTGAGAGAGCTCTTATCAGGAAGTTTCGCTTTGTGGGGATCTTCAGCTTTTTGAAAGAGAAGTATTCTTAAGAAAAGATTGAGTAACGAATGGACAAAAGGTGGCTCATTACAATTACTTGAAGCGTTAGTATATGAATAATAGCTTTGACATGATATATCACATTTTCGCAATTAGTCGCAGATCCTCGAATATTTGATCTCTTAGGTGATCTATAACTCCCCAACCGTAGCCATTGGCGAACCTTCGTCTAACGACTATATTGTTATGAGCGTCGGGAGGTAAGTACACTAGAACCTTTCTCCAATTAATACCATCTGCGTGGTACTTCTGTGCGATCTTTACCTGTTTTTCAAGTTTCCACTCTTTTGATCTAAACAAACGTTTGAATGGACCGACACTAGACGATGAATCTTCGGGTATATTATTGAAATGGTAGAATCGATCATGGAATATCACCAGGGTACGATCTTGAGGCCGCAAGATGAATTTTTGCGACGGTACTGGACAGATCATGGTACTGAGAGCGGATTCAACAGCGGAGGCCTTCGGGGGTATATTGTATTGCACCGATTTTTCCTCGTCGCTTTCCAGATCACCATCAAGATCATCATGGAATGATGTGTCGGTGCCTTTCGCCGAAATTTTTGAATATAAGACGGTCTTTCGCGATATTCGTTTCCGATGAAATAGATCGACAGCCGGGGACTGATCGTTGTTGGAAGTTCGTGATTTTGAAGGCTCTGAATCATCATGAGAGGTTTGACCTGAGACGTTTGGATTTGGCGTTGATGTTCCATACGGCACTGCGCCAACGTCATGGCCCAGTGCGTTTGTCTCCACTGTCGCCAGACTCTGGTCATCATCTATGGATCTTTTTCGCATATATTCGGGGTGGTCCTTCAACTGTGAAACATCACCCATTGCGGCCCAATCTAGGTATAAAAGGGAACTTGTTCTTAGAGGAACAATCCCATCGTTGAATGCGTTAGCATAGACAGTTCTCAGCTTGAATTGTTTGAGAAGGGTCTGAACAAGCGCATCAGGCAAAGACTCCAAAACTGGCTTGAACTTCTCGCTTTTTGAATTAGTATTCACAAACAGCGGTAATTTTTTCAGTAATGTTAGGTCTCGACCCGTTTTTCCCAAGGTGCCGAGATCTAAAAACCATGAGATCCAAAAGCTCATTTCACTCAATACTCCAAGCATTGGACTAGCTATACAAACGAAATGTTCCAACAGGATATTTCTCGATTTGAAGTAATCTTCACCTTTGACCTGCAAGATGTGCTTCAAAGCGTAGAGTTGAACGGGCCCACCGAGCGAATGGGCAACAAAACTGATTTTATTAATCTCCCACTTTTTGGCGCTAAACTCATCGATGAGGCTCGTGACGAAGAATGATACCCCTACACCAAGCTTGTGTATTCCCTTCTCCGTCCTTCCCGCATTTCCTCTGTAGCCTGTAACTACTACATTTTCATCTAGTGTTGATAGTTGGTCCCTCAAATAGAGCATATCGGCAGTCAAGTTTGAGAAGACTCCATGAGTTATAACAACAAGGTGAATTGGTGAGCTCGGCGTCTTCGGTATCTGGGTCCATAAATCGTCTGTATGACTGCTAACTACTTGAAGATCGGGGTTTTTTGATACTCCAAAAGTGTCAGAAGAGCCATCCTCATCTGGTGTTTCACTAGAGGTCCCAGTGAAATCTCCTTTTGTCAAAGAAGTGATGACAGAGCGATTGAGCCTTCGCATACTAAACAAGTCATCGCCGATCATGAAATCGTAGAGCACAGAAGCTTTTCTGTTTAGAATTATTTGTGAAATGATATCGCAGGACCAGCAATAAGTCTTTTTTCCATCTGCATGCGTCGTCTCTAAACTGTTTTCATTCAAATACAATTTCACGTTGAATGTCTGTCCAGGTTTGATGGCATTTTTGAACACGACTTCAGAATTTCTTCTAGAGTCCTCGGGAACAAACTCACTTTTATGGTGGTATCTAAACGGGACGACATGAGCGTAGAGAATGAAGGGGCCATTCAAAAGATGTATTGCTCGAAGTGGTGTTTTCTCCAAATTTTTAACCCTTAGATATATTTCAGTAAGAGATTGATCGTCGGTAGTATAATGAATTGTGTATCTGTTGACATCCCCAAGCTTCAATGGTTTTTGGTCTCTATACCACAAATAAGAAGGCATACCCCAGTAAAAGCATTAAGTCAGGTCTCTAATTCGCGTAAGAGCAATATACCGTATCGGTGAGACATCAAAGAGAAAAGCCAAAAAAGAAAAAAACAAAACAAAAAAAAAAACTTGATAATAAAAAACTACAGTTCTTTACCAAAGTCACAATATATTGAAGAGCTCCTCAAGATTCCTGAAAGACTTCTTTCAAGAAGGCCTCCTCCTCGGCGTTGTGCATCGCTTTGGAACCGGCAGCAATGGAAGCTGAAGGATCTCTTCCTGCGTAGCGCATCACCAATCCAGCATGCTTCTCGGTGTTTTCTAACGTGGTCACCATACGAGGTGCAACATATGAGTAAGATCCCATGTTCAAAGGCTCCTCCTGGCAAAAGACCAAATCTTGAACGTTTGGATATTTGTTCAAAGTATCACGCAATTGGGCAAAAGGGAATGGATGCAATTGCTCAATTTTGATGATGGCCGTACTCTTGTCCTCAAGAGAGGCACGCTTCTTATGCAAAGCGGTGTAAACTTGACCCGAGCAGAGTACTATGCGCTCAATGCCATCTCTGTCGTGGATGCTTTTACCCAACTCACGGTCATCGATGATCCATTCGAAGTGCGAGTCTCCAGTAAACTCCGTTAATTCAGACTTGGCCAAGGGATGTCTCAACAACTGCTTTGAGAAAAACAAGACCAAAGGCTTTCTGAATTGTCTATGCATCTGGCGTCTCAACAAATGGAAGAGATTAGCTGGGGTTGTAGGGTAAGCAACTTGCATGTTACAATCCTGGTGCTGTCTTTCCAATTTGTCTTCTGAAGGGAAGTAACGTTGGTCCTCATTACACATCTGCAAATACCTTTCAATTCTTCCTGAAGAGTGCTCGGGACCCTGTCCATCGTAACCGTGAGGTAAAGACAAAACTAATCCTGATCTTTGCTTCCATTTTGATTCAGCTCCCGAAATAAATTGATCAACCACAACCTGCGCGGTGTTGGCAAAATCACCAAATTGGGCTTCCCACTGGACGAGGGCATCAGGAGAGAAAAGCGAGTAACCGTATTCGAAACTCATCACTCCGTACTCCGATAAAGAGGAATTAGAGATCACGAAGGGACCTTGCTCCTCGGATAAAGTATTGAGTGGAGTGTAAACCTTCTCCGACTCCTGATCGTGCAAAACGGAATGACGCTGTGAGAATGTACCTCTCTCAACATCTTGGCCAGAAACTCTGACATGGTAGCCCTCGAGACAGAGAGACCCGAAAGCCAAAGCTTCACCTGTGGCCCAGTCTATTCCCTCACCAGTTTCAACGGTCTTCTTTCTCGTGTTGAGAATACGCTTCAAATTTCTGTGGACCTCAAATCCCTTAGGGGTCTCCGAGATATGTTTTCCAATACTCTTCAATGTTTCGGCATCAACAGCAGTTGGTAAATGAGGCAAGATCTCTGTGGCCAATTCTTTTGGAGATTTGAAATCCTCCCATGGAGTTGTTAACCATTCCCTCGACGTTGGCTGGTACTCCTTGGACTTACCGAATGACTCATCCAAAAGATTCCAGACCCACTTCTTATGCTCATCGATGTCTTCTTTCGTGAATGTTCCCTCCGAAATTAACTTATCGACGTAATAGTCGAGCACAGACCTCTTCTCCGCAATCTTCTTATACATCAATGGTTGGGTGAAAGAAGGCTGATCGGTTTCATTATGACCGTGCTTTCTGTAACCAACGACATCGATGATCACATCGGAGTGGAAGGTAGCTCTCCAGTCAGCTGCCAAATTGAACACAAAAGTAAGAGCCTCGATATCGTCTGCGTTCACATGGAAAATTGGAGCATTGATGGACTTGGCGATATCGGAGGGATACAAGGTGGATCTGGCAAAACGTGGATCAGTGGTGAAACCAATCTGATTGTTTATGATGATGTGAATAGTACCACCTGTAGAGTATGCTGGCAAATTGGCAAAGCCCATAGTTTCGTAGACAACACCCTGACCGGAAAATGCGGCATCACCATGCAACAAGACACCCATGGCTTTCTTGAATTCACCTGTATCAGCCTTGTATTCCTGAATCGCTCTAGTTTTACCCAAAACAACACCATCCTCGGCTTCTAAATGCGAAGGATTTGCCACAAGGGATAAGTTCACATGTTTACCGGAAGTTGTAGGTCTTTTGTAATTCATACCCAAGTGGTATTTGACGTCGCCCGATCCCTCGTCAAACTCCTTCGAACCAGTAAACTCGAAAAAGATGGATTCATTTGGTTTTCTAACAACGTTCGACAACATGTTTAATCTTCCTCTATGCGGCATTCCAATGACAATGTCCTCAATTCCATGTTCAACTGAAGTATCAATCATGGCTTTCATTCCAGGAACAACGGCTTCCGCACCTTCAAGACCAAATCTTTTATCGTTAGGAAACTTGGTCGCCAAGAAAGACTCGAAAGAGCACGACCAAATTAAACGATCCAAAATTTGCCTCTTCTCATCCGAAGAGTATTTGAAAGGTTGAGGAATCTCTATTCTTTCCCTCAACCAGTCACACTGCTCCTTGGAAGGGATATGAATATACTCGACACCATAAGATGAGCAATACAAGCGCTCACAAGCATCGACGATTTCACGCAATTTCAACGATTTCTTACCATTTTCGACGAAACGCGGTAAGATTCCAGGACCAAGAGTGATGGACTTGTCCATGTCGCTCTCAGTGAATCCATAGTGTTCCAAAGTCAACTCTTTAGGAACATCCAGCTGATCACCATAGGAAATGCCCAAAGGATCGATTCTGGCTTTCTGGTGACCACGCACTTGATATGCACGAACTAGAAGTTGTACCTTCAAATGAGTGACGACATCCTCGCTATGTCC